ATTAAGTTAAACCTGAAACCCTAAAATGGCTAGTGAATAGTGACACGCAAAACTGCGAATTGTTTAACACAATCATGATCCAAGGACAATGAAAAAATACGAAAAGTACAGGATTTAACAAGGAAGGTGTAAATTGGCAGAAAATGAGACCATACTTGGCACGAGGCTTGGAGCTAGATTTGGCCATTTTTTAAGGAAAGTAACAGCACTAATGTAATGCAACCACCGCTGCTACCGGTATTTTCAAAAGTGAAGAAAGATCCTGCTAGCATTGGTACGTCAGGCCCTGACAACAGTTCAAATTAGAAATAGAGTTTTATTTGAAAAAATGTTTTGTGATCAAAACTTAATTAATAAGGTTGTGCATGGTTTTTCACTGTTTTCACTGTTTTTCGAAAAGTGTAATAACTACTGAGCTTAAACTGAATAACTACTGAACTTAAACCTCTGTGGAATTTCAGTGACATTATTGGAAATGAACAAGTTAATGAAAAGCAAATGATCCTTTATGCTTTTATTACATGTTAGAGGGGCCTATCCCTCAATCTCATATCATTATCAATTAATATCATGACGGTACCTGAATCAGCAGTAGCGGCTAAGCATGATTTTGTAATTTCGATATTAGTAATTGCATCTTGGGTCTGGATGACAAACAAACCAACCAATTTGTGCACAAACCTATGGTGCCGAGTACCAGTTCCAACTTTCATTTGATTCGTCCTAATTTTATATCAAGAATTTAGTGATTAAATCAGTCTTCAGCTCCCACATTTATATCGTCTCAAAAATGTTCCTCCATGGGATTTCAAAATGGCGGACTTGGGCAAGGTTATGAATATGCATTATACAGTTCGCGCGGCCAGCCATACAAACATATCCTCCAAAGCCACTGATTTACAGTGAAGAAAATGAAATCTAGTTAAATATGAAAATTTGATTAAAAACTTCCCTCGTACCCCCCGCCCTGCAAACAGGACGCTGGGAAGGGCTGAAGAATTGGAGCTCTGATTGGATAGATTTTGTGTGACTTGTGACCTGCAAGTCATCACGGCCACGACCCTGCTAGGATTTAAACGGCCGTTAAGTACGAGTCATAATGCTTATTTTCCTTGAAAAAGCGTAATAATGGAGGACAATCCTAAAAGGTCAATCAGCAGGGAAATATTGAAGTATTTACTGAGAAGAACTAAGAAATGTTGATGTTCAAACCGTTCTCATTGGGTTTGTGCACAGAGAGTGACAGGTGATGGCCAGATGGGAATCTTTCCCATTTGAATACAAAAATTACAAGTTTGGATTTCGTCGGAATCTGCATACCAAAGAAAAATGGATTTAAACCAGGTATATTTTTTGAGACACTGAAAACAATGTGTACGTTTAATAAGGCAACCGGCTGAGTATTACAGGCATGCAACTGGGAAGTCACAAAAAAAGAGGAAACTCAAATCTTTCCAAGACTTTGTACAATGTTTTTCTATTTTCAATGGCACACATTGGAAGTGAAAAAAAGAGGAAATCAGCTGATCCGAGGAAAAGTGGCATGCCTGGTATTAATGTGATTATTTTACATACAAAAAGGATTTTGATTGAAATGCTAAAATTAAAAACTCACATTTTCTCAGAATTTTTGTCTTTAAATCCTTTATTCATGCTTATTTCAATAAATATATGGGAGATGGCTAGCTGGAGTTACCCAGCCCTAAATCGGTTGCGGTTCCAGTACCGCAGCTGTGATGCGAGTGGTAAACCTCATATTAGTGCATGAAACAGTCATTGGGTGTTACGCTTCCGCGTGACGTCATGCGCCAACAGCCAGCGCAGCCGGCAAAAACGACTAGTCGACAGCGCGCTGTGCCTGGTAATCGACCGCCATTCATTGTACACAATTTTTTTTTTTGCACAAACCAATTGCGGTCCTGGCCATGCCTGCAAGGTTGTCAGGTTAGCGGTTATTCCTCCTTTTTTCACTGCAATTGTAGGCTGAATCTTCATCGTGGATCGTTTTTTACTTCAAGGACTTGTGTAATTTTTTTTGGGACCTGCCTACACTGCTGGGTTACGTGAAAAATTAGACCCGTGAACGTGGCTTGTAAAGTGAACGTGGCTTGTAAACTACGCCACGCTGTTGTCTATTTTCGAACCTGGCGAACGTGTCCCTCTGACTCCCTCCGTTACACACACTGGACGTTATTTTGCCCATGTAATAAGTACTCACATATGAAGCTGTCTTGAATTCTATTTGTACGTCAAAACTTGCATTTGACGAAAATTGAGGAAAATTCTGGCCCCGGTTCATGAAGTCCGTCCGCTACTGCTAGCTGCCATTTTCTCCCAACTGACGCATGCGCAGTGCGTTTTATTTTCGTATGATTCGACGGCTGTTTACTGTCGCAGCTAAAACAGACATCGTTTTAGACAAGTTTCAAGTCCTTTCCTCTCTCACCGCACCGCCCGCGGTCGCACGTGCGCCCGCGTGTGTGTGCACACACGTACTGTACACGAGATGAGCCGAGCAGCCAATCGTCTGCGGGTTGTTTTTTTTCGGGGTTGCGACATGAAACAGCCGTCAATCTGTCCAAGCCACTCAGACGCGTCCGGATTTTTTTGTCAGGGTCAGGTTAAAATCTAATTTCTACACGTTCGTATGGGTCTTTACTGATGGGCAAATTTCGTCGAAATTACACAGCCTAAACAATCGGACGGGCAAATTTAGATTTCTAGGTGAGTACTCAACACCCATACGGAATTATGTATGTCGGATCGATTTCGCCAGGTTCGAAATGAAACAAGAACGTGGCGTTGTATACAACGCCACGTTCACGGGTCTAGTGAAAAATCAGCTCCAGCCCTCAATGACAACCCAATGAAAAAATTTAGGGCTGGGTAACTCCAGCCAGCTAGGAGATGGCAATCATAGTTTCAAAATTCTTATATTTGAATTTCAACAGAACAGCATGAATGTGCACAAAAGTCAAAATTTTAATCACAATTTCCTATTCAGAAAAACAATGCAGAAAAAGGGTCACAAAATGAACAGCGCCCTCACACGTTTATGATATTGATCACTAACTTTCTAAATTCTCGTCTTAAATTTGTACGTACCTTTATCACATTCAAAGTACACGATCTGACGTTCCTCGCTGTCCAAAACAGATCAAGAATACGTATCAAGCACAGTCCATAAATGTTACCCGGTGATGTTACTTGAGATACGTTGAATAAAATCAGGCGCGATCATAACATCAACAACTGAGCGCAGACGACAAAATGCACGCGCGATTAAGTGAACCTGATGACAGCACCATAAAATAACGTTGTACGACGTCCGGGTACCGATCGTTTCTTGCTCGAATGCTCGTCGTCATAGTACAGAGGGCGCACTTTCTGTTTGTCAGTATTTTAAAATACCGCGGCCTACTTCTTCCTCAGTTCCGAGCCAAATAAAAGGAATTACATTTTTAATTGAAACGTAACAAAACAAAGGTACGTTATAGGTACACCTGTTGAAAAAACAACAACAGAACAATAACATCACAATTTAGACGTTCGATACGAAGATCTGGTGTACGAAGCCCTTCATTTTTAAAATTCAATGGAGAAAGCATTGTGCGCGTTATTAATTATACAATCAAATGGCCCTTGAGCTGGGATTATTTTAATTTCCATCCAGACACCTGAAAATTTGTGAGAACAATTTATGAGTATTTACAGTGGCGTATCTAGCGGGGGTAAAACCCCCTATAATAATATCTGGGACTTAAAGAATTGAGAAAACCAAGCTTTTTTAAAACTATCATTGACGTAGGATTATTTGAATCAACAATACATAATCTTAAATTGGGCCTGCCTATTAGAAAATACTAATATTTTACGGCCGGTCGGGGTGGGTTTTTTGGGGGGGGGGGGGTACTATATACTACCATTCCTCCATGATACTACAGGGCCTTTTTTTCTCTATTTCCTTTCCTCTCAAGTTTTTATCTCCATGTGATCAAGGGTAGTCTACGTAATGGGGGCTATGATATGTGAGGAAAGTTGCTGATTAATTAGGCAAGACAACTGCCTCTTGACCTCCTAGATTTTGATTAATCAGCGGGCGCTTTAAATTTCCATTTCGGGTCTTCGGTCATTCAACCATTGCGCGTCGAAGACAATGGATAAAAAAAAACTGTGTCACGCGCTCTGTATCATGTTACGCGGTATGCTCCCGGCTGTTGTATTACAAAACATTGCATTCGAATTGACCAATCAAACCATTTAGTACTGATTTGGGAAAGAAATGACGTCATGATTTAGTAAAGTCGACTCCGATTGGCTGGCACGCGGATTGCATATATCTGCATGTCTCTAGACATATCAGACGTTATGGGACTTGGCTCCGTGGACTGATAACGGGTGATACTCAGACTAATCAAGGGCGCGGATCCAGAACACAAATTGTGGTTTTTTTGGGGGGGGGGGGCAAAACAATTGTCGTCCCAAAAAGTGTGTCCAAAAAATTACGGCGTGGGGTTCGGGGCCCGCTTAAGGGCCCCGGATTTTTTTGAGATTCTATGTGGTAAGGCAATTTCTGACCACTTAACTGATGTTGTTGTTTTTTAGGAAAAGGGGTGTATGGGTGTACTCATTGCCTGCCTTTATTGCGAAGTCACTAAAAAAAAAAATTTGATTCTTTTTTTTTTGTGGGGGGGGGGGGGGGCTGGCCCCCTTTGGCTCCCCCCCCCCCCCCTTGATCCGCCCTTGCATGTGGTCGCTGTTCCTTTTCAGCATCTATGAGTCTTTTGGATTTTGGTAGCCGCACTAAGTTCAGAAAAGATTTATTCTAGCAATGGAAAATGAAAAGCCGACCGTAAATTGTAAATACCGCCCTCTTTTGTCAACAGTTTCTCAGGTCGTTTGATGTTGGCCTGGTAGCTGGACTCCAAGTTGATTTTGTTATACAGTAACCGAGGATGTTAGGAACGTTTTGTGCTGAGAACCCGACTGAACATTAAAATCCTCGAGCAGACGATTTTTCTTTCTGGCCTTGCATATATGTACGGAACTACGACGGTTCTCATCAAAGCTAGCCCCATAAATGTAACCAATTTACTGGAATACCTCCAAGAATAAAGGCCACACTTGCACCATGCACAAAAACGGAAAAAATTCCATACTGGGCCAGTGGGCCACCACTGAGAGCTCCTGCACAAAGTCTATGGGTCATGACAGAACATGATTTTGAAGTCATGAAAGTAGGCCTAAAGAATTTTGCACTCCTTAAACATGTTTCATCAGAGTTACGACTTTTGGTACTGTTCAGGTCATATTGGTGGTCCATTTATGGAATTTTTTCCCCTTTATATGCTAATCAGAAAGTGCTGCCTTTTTCAGATGTCTATTTTTCGTGAAATTTCATGTTGAAATTTTGATGCGCAAACGTGTGCAAACGAATCTGGAAATTTCACAAAAAATAGACATCTGAAAAAGATGTGTTTTGTTTATCCAAAAAATGCATTGTTCATGAGAGTGTGCACATCCATGAGTAAAATATCGAATTGCTTATTAATTTTGGGGGAGGGGGGGGGGGGGGAAATCTGCCTTGTTTTGTAACTCTGAAGGTCTGTTTTGCAGATTAGCTGGAGTTACCCAGCCCTAAATTTTATCATTGGGTTGTCAACCCAGTGACAACCCAATGATAAAATTTAGGGCTGGGTAACTCCAGCTATTTGCATATATATGGTTTTGGTTATTAATTAATACATACATAGGCCTATATGGATAAACAAAACACAATGGTCAAAGTGTGCCTACCGAAATAGATGGCAATTAGCTTACACCTTCACTTGGGTTTGTTCATTCACAATTTTGTCCACAATTCTCTTTGCTCGCATGAGATGTTGAATTGTCTTATTAATATTAGTGTTTAACTAACCATATAAAACACTTAGAAAAGTCTTCCGTTGCATCCATAGTTAGCGACTGGTCTGTGTGGCGCCCAAAGACAGAAGATCATGGATAGTGACGATTCCGATTCGGACACTATGATGGGCCCATCAGGGGACGATGGGACGACGACAGAGTTCTGCCAGGCTGCTCAACGGGTGCAGATGCTGGCCGCTGGTCTGCCCAAAGATAAATTGCTGTATCTCTATGCACGGTATAAACAAGTAAGCAAAGACTAAGTTGTTCACCATAATTAAAAGCTTTCCATAATGACAAATTCCCTGCATGTTTAACACACACGATCAAAGACAGCAGTTTTACATCTTTTTTTTGTAGAGCATTTTCACAAATTACTACCCGAAATGGGTAAATTGTTTTGCAGCAGATTGTCAGCACACCAGTTGAAACGACAGTTGCGCTTATTTTTGCTTCCCAGAGGAGATTCAAGTCAATTGTAAGCTTGGGTTTACAACCTCCATGATAGCAAAACACTGGTTCATGTTTGGCCACTGCAGTGTGAGTGAACCAGTAACCATGGTTGCACTGAGTTGACCTCTGACTGATGTCACAACTGCGGCAGCAAATTGTGTACAATTATTTTTTAAAATGGACTTCCGCAACTTCCCTTCATAATTCTGAAATGTCCATGTTCACTTGTGATTCTGTTCCTTCTAGGCTACTGTCGGCAAATGCAACACGTTACGACCTGGACTCTTTGACTTCCAAGGGAAGCAGAAATGGTAAGGCTTTGCCAAGAGATTGTTTGTTTTACTAACAAGAGAATGATGCGAAAAACTTGTCAACTTACACTAAAATTTTGATTTAGAGAATGCACTGTAGTTTGGATCACAGCTAGTAGCAGTGTTCAGGGTTCGACCTTAACTTTTATTTCACTAGCTAGCCGGGCTACTGAAACAGACTCTTAACTAGCCTGCTGGCATTTTCACTAGCCCGCATGTTTGTCTTTTATGGAGTGTCTCATACACAACAATGTGTAGACACGTAAAACGGGCATCCTGAGGCAATCTTGTCAGTGTTTTTAATAAACAGATCTAATAATTTAACCCTAAACAGTTAATAAAATTAGACACAAATTGATACAGGTTTGCATTCTGAATTTAATGATTTATTTTTTCCTGTCCTTTCATCTGTGCCGTAGCCCAATATTTTTTGACAAGCCAGCCGGGCTACTTAAGGAATAGTTTGACTAGCCTGCCGCTGTTTTGACTAGCATTTGGCTAGCGGGCTACCGTTAAAGTCGAACCCAGAGTGTTGCAGTCCAGGTACTCGTGATTGATCACAAGTGCCGTAAGTTGGGTCACAAGTCAATTCACAGATCCAGTCACAAGTAACAAGGGAATGGACAATAAGAAAGGAATGCCTTCGTCTCAGTTCAGTTGAAAAGCTTGTGAGTTGACTGGATGACTTGTGATGGACTTTTATGGACTTGTGATGACTTGTGATTTACTTGTGATGGACTAGTGATGACTTGTGATTGACTTGTGATTGACTTGTGATTGACTTGTGATGGACTTGTGATGGACTTGTGATGACTTGTGACGACTTGTGATGACTTGTGATGGACTTGTGATGGATTTAAGATGACTTGTGATGGTCTTGTGATGACTTGTGGTGACTCGTGATGACTTGTGATTGACTTGTGATGACTTGTGATGGACTTGTGATGACTTGTGTTTGACATGCGATGACTTGCCATTGACTTGTGATGGACTTGTGATGACTTTAGATTGACTTGTGATGACTTGTGATGGACTTGTGATGACTTGTGATTGACTTGTGATGACTTGTGATTGACTTGTGGTCCACCACAATTACTTCTATTCAACACTCACCAATAATGTTCAAAAGTCAGTTTGTACCAACTACTCTTAATAGACTGATCGTTCTTCTCCAAACCCGCTTCACAGGTTTCTTCACACTTCAACAAACTGCATTGTTTAAAGTTGATTTGCTGATTATTTTTTTTACTTCAGGGATGCATGGCATGGACTGGGTGCAATGACCAAAGATGTGGCCATGGCTGAGTACGTGGCCGCAGTGAAGGACATTGACCCTGACTGGTCCAGTGAGAAGAGTGGAGGGAGGGGCAGAAGTGGGATGGGGGTGGGGGTCAGCACCATGTGCAAAGAGGAGGATGACATCTGGTGAGAATACTACAAATCATTATGTGTTGCTTATATAGGGCTTTATTCAATGTCTTAAAGAGGTTGTGGAATGCTCGAAGACTTTTCCGTCATTTTTCGGGTATATGTAGCCTAAGGTGTGATGAAATAAAAACGACTATTGTGTCTGTCATGAAATGAGTACAAAAGGTACTTTGAGAGCTGTTTTTCAGGTCCTGTTTCGATCCTGTTGCGACTCGTTTATACTACGCTGCGTCGGGAGTCCTGTTTATTACGTCATGATTTACTATGTTTTGTTTGCTGCCCCCGACGATGACTTTTACACAAATTGCACGTTCGGGTTGAAACAGGACCTGAAAAACAGCTCTCAAAAGTACATTTTGTACTCATTTCATGACAGACACAATAGTCGTTTTTATTTCATCACACCTTAGGCTACATATACCCGAAAATGATGGCAATGTCTTCGAGCATTCCACAACCTCTTTAAATTGTTTCACAGTTATTACTAGGGGTGTGCCTGAGTACCCGACCGCTGATGTCAGGAACTGGTTCCAGATGAAAATTTACTTCCCAAACTTTCCTGGATGTTCACAGCACAATGCAATACAGTCTTGACATCAGCCACAGGTAGTGGGGCAATATGGGCTCTAGCATTTATTAAACAATGTATTGCCTTTTTGGAGGGAAAAACAAACACTGATGTAAGGTGTCCATTTTTAATTCTTTCGACAGTGACGGGAATAAAACTGTATTCGATTGGTGCAAGGATGGCGACGCAGAGCAGATGAGTCGATTACTGGATGAAGGACGGTTAGGAATCGACGACCCAGATGATGAGGTAAACCATTCAACATTCTCGATAAATTCAAAAGACCGACAGAAACGTTGATAATTTTCACTTTCATTTTAACAGCTAGCCTTGGTAAAAGTAGATGATGGAAACATTTGCGTAGCTGCCGATTGAAGCTACCGATTGCAGTTAGTCCCTAAAGATTTGCTTCATCAGTGTCTGATTCCGTAATCCTCAGGGGATGAGTCTACTCCACTGGGCGTGTGACAGGGGACATATAGGTGTAACCCAGGTGCTCTTAGACCACAAAGCTGATGTCAATATACTCGACGAGGAGGGACAAACGCCATTACATTATGGTAAGGCACTTGTATTCCTAATATTGTATTCATTCTCCTTAAAACCATAGTGCCGGGGCAGTTTAGGGCGGTATATGCAATCACAGGGCGACTTGGTGTGGAGCAGGAACGAACATGTTAGTAATTGATAACAGTTTCATTGTCTAAGCTTCTATTTGCAATGTACTAGTGAAGGTTTGCATTAACACCTTGTGAAAATCTCTTTTGGGAAGGTATGTGGTTCTGAAAAGAGCTGGTTGATTGTGTTTTCAGAACCATCACCTTCCCGAAAGAGATTTCCACATGGTGTTACCGCAAACCTACTACAACCATGCAAAGTTTTAAATCTTACTTATTGACAATGTAGTTGCAAACAAGTGGTGTGGGACGGTACAAGTTCCACACACTTAGGTACATTTTAAGTAAGATTTTCAAAGGAGTTTTCAAAGGCTACCCTTGCCACCCAGATCCACAGTTTTGATGTAGTGATAACCAATATATTTACATGTTTGACGTGATTTTGCAAATTTTTTCCCAAAACCTTCCTTTTTGCAACCGTTGTCTTTCAGCTGCCACCTGCGAGCACACAGCCATTGTAGAAATCCTTCTGAAGTACGGTGCAAACCGGGCACTGACTGACAACGAAGGGTGCATGCCTCTCGAACTTACCTCAGACAAACTCATCCAGGAAATGCTGAGAGTGCATTAAGACTGACGACGAAAACTGAACGTTTTGTAGGCTGTGGCCTGGGCCTCGTATGTGCGGCTTTTGGACTGTGGTCAGGTTGAACAGTCCAATTTGCAGAACAGCTGCGAGTCACCGGTTGTGCCGTCCGCCTTGGCTTCCGTCAACGACGGGCACCAGTGGTAGATGATGGTGGCATGCCCATGGTCTTTCCAACCAATCCAAGGACCATGACACTTATGTCCTCGGGCAAGACGATTTACTATAATTGCTGCTATCCACACAGGAGCAAAGGGTTATCTGAGGGGGCATAGTCATCATCATGCGAGAGGTCGTCTTTAACCGACAACTTCTCGAGAGACTCTGGTGGTCGCATTCCATGCGTCCATGAGGTCCAGCATCAGCATCCTCAGCTCAGCGGTATTTTGTTGTGCTGCGTCCCTCTTCAACTGGTCGATGAAAGATAGTCGCCTCCTGCCCTTGCTCCTAGCTCCACCAACAGGTTCCCACAGTACTAGCGGGCTTGCAGCTAGCTCTGGATGACCCACACAGTCAGTCCTAAATACCCATATGTGCCAAAGAGTAGAGTGACTACCTCAAAGAAAGTTCTGGTGCTTATGGGCTCCGTGCGCGAACAAGAGAGGGTGTACGTGTTCTACATAACCCCCGAGGACCGACACACAAAAGGAGAACAACAGATCCTTTCAGTCCTTGGCAGTTGGGTCTTTTGTTTAAAACGGTCCTCTGTAGTAAGCTTGTGTGCTCAGTCTATTGGAGAGTGTTATATTACAGGGACAAAGGGAAACACAAAGCATTGTCCTCGAGAGTATAGTAAAGCAAGAGTTTGTGCTTTTTGACAATATTCAAGAGCCCTGTGGACGGGACACACACTGCACATACAGTCGTGTTTTACTATACTCTCGAGGACAATGCTTTGTGTTTCCCTTTGTCCCGGGAAATATAACACTCTCCCATAGACTAAGCACACAAACTTACTACAGAGGACCGTTTCCAACAAAAGACCCAACTCCTGAGGACTGAAAGGATCTGTTGTTCTCCCTTTGTGTGTCGGTCCTCAGGGGTTATGTAGAACACGTACACATGTTCGCAAGCGTATAGCGCAGTGTATTCGCATGTCTCTCCCAGTGGTCGTCTCCAATTCTCCTTTTGTTACCGTTGAGGGGTCGCTGGCTTTTAAGGAAGGAGTGTATATGCCCCTTTAATCCACTGTTGGTTTGACTGGTCAAAACTGAACTTTAAAAGTTCATGTAATCACTGTGTAGGTTTTCACTACACTTTTTAGCCGAAGGATTTATGTCAGTTTAGTTTTTAAATGGATTGATACTTTAATGTTTAAGAGGTAATAAATTAGTAAAGATTTGTCACTTGAATTGTCATTGTGAGTTATTTGTGTGAATTTTTGAATTCTTTGCATCAACAAATCCTGGCTAGCTGAGCGTGTCAAATAGGCCAGAGCAGTTATTGCAAAAACCTACCGATATAACGATAGACACTTTACTCAAAGGGACAATAGGACTGGTACCAAATACCCTGTGAAATTACTCCACCTGAAATGGTATCGTTTGGAAAAGAAAGTAACATTGAGGGTGGTTTCAAAATACATGTAAAATGCTTGCGGGCACACATTTTAACATGCGTTGGCAACCGAATCCAGTTACGAAACGCCCAAAAGCTGATACTTTTTCTGTTTTCTCAACATGTATAGTATCCACTGAGCTGAAATACCGACAGGTTAGTTATTATGCACCCTACTTAAAGATTTGGGCATTTTGGTTGCTTTAAAAGGTTAAAGTGCACAAATGGCAAATGATCTTATATCCCATTAGGCCCCCCAAAAAGTCTCCGGTTTCTGGTATGGAGCTTGCCCAAAAAGTGGTGCGGCGACGCGGCTTTTTTTTTACCTGATTTTTTTGCTTCAAATGTTGGCTGATGACTGCAAATGGTGTCCGACTTAACTTAGTGCAAATATATGGGAGTCCAGAGAGGCCACATAAAGATTATTCTCGACCATAACCCAATCTAAAAACACGTTAAAACTGTGTAGCAGCAGGATTCCAGTCAAACCAGTGAGTTTGACGGTTTTGAGACATCATCTTCCATTGAAAAAAAAACCTTTTTCATTTTGCCGACGCGCATGGCTACAGCGACGCGCGCGCATACCAGAAACCGGAGACTTTTTTTTTTGGCCTTATGCACCCTACTTATGAGCAATTGTGTTGCTTCAAATGGAAAAAAGTGCACAAAGAGCAAATGATCTTTATGTCACATTAAGTGAGTATTCCATTTGCAACTCTTTAAAGCAATTTTCACTTTCAAAAGTGATGATCGAACAGTCATGAATGAGCAATTTTTATATCATGAGTAGTTGTAAAAAAAAACCAAAAGGTGTGCACATCTGTAGCCAGTGTAACAAATAATATAGCTGCCATCTGCTGAAAAATGGCATCGGATATTGTACGCATCACTGCATCAATTCACCACACTTTCAATTGTGCCATGATGCAGTGCATTGTACTGTGCATGTCTATATGCCAGCGCTTTCACTGATGAAAAATTACTTTGTTAAGGCTTAAAGGGAATGTACAACATTTACTGTTGCTGTAATTTTCAGAAATAAATGGATTTGGAGGAATAGTATGTTCAAGCAAAAATTATTACACTGACTTGTTTCACGTTTTGGGTTCGTAGATGCTAAAAAAAACCAAGAAAACCAATCAAAATGATGTTCTTGTAGTCTGGTTCTCTGACCACACTTAAGATGAAACGGAGCAATTTATAGACGGGGAATTATAAGCAAGGTCAGAGAATCAGTCTAGCAGGCTTGTACCCCTTCAAAGGTGTGTAATTAATTGCAAAGAAAATGCGGAATAACTAAATCTGAAAAATTAGGAGCAGTTAAAAAAAAAAAAAAAGTTTTCTCCAACGCTGCGTTGGAATTGTACCATGATTGTACGGGATGCCTTAGACTGTCCTTTTCTCTAACACTTCAGTAAAGCATTTCCCGATAATTTGATCATTTTGTTTTTTGATGTTTGGAAATGTTGTATCTTCCCTTTAAATTTCCATTGTGCTTCTCATTTGCGCATGTGCTTGTGTACGCCGGTGGAACAGTCGATGCACTTGTAATGATCCCATTACAAAGGACGCCTATTTCGGTTGTCCATCAACATCAAGTAATTATTTTTAATGATGTCGTTTTAGTTCCACATTGGGACCGATGTGTCTCATCGGAGAGATTGAATGGTTTGACTGCAAACCAATACATATGATGGACTTTTAGTGGATAATTTTCATAATGGCTACCACAATGCACCAGCGGCATCACTGGTTAACAAAATTGCCATCCAAATTGTATTATAATAACGGGGAGCCTGGACCCCACATAAACAAATGGGCAATTCCATGGTTACTCACGTTACATTTTTGTAACGTGAGTAACCGATTTTGTGCGTCTTGTTTATCACACATAACACATTTTTCTGGATGTCATCTTTGGTGCTTAGGTAAGTCTAGGTCTACTCTATCTACCATGTGGATAACAGTTATTAAACCTTTTCAGTACGTTAATTACAGCCCAAGGAAACTCAAAAGTACATCAAAAACGTAACGTGAGTAACCGTGGAATTGCCCAAATGGTTCTTGATTGAAATTTGCATCCAGCATTCCACAAAACTAAACAGGGAAACCGTGGATAACGAATCTCCTGCTTAAGGACTACAAAATAAATTTTAGCCCACACTTGAAAAACTCACATTGTAGGTGTGCATTTATTGCACAGTTTACATAATATTTATATCAATAAAATAAAATTTCTTAACAATTTCAGATTATACATACATTCAGTACTGGTCAAAAAGTGGCTCATCCATGCAGCAACGACAGAAGTGAATTACCTCTTATACACAAGTTAAGTAGCCAAATAGGATATTTTGGACAACTAAGGCCAAAAAAAAAAAGTCTCCGGTTTCTGGTATGGAGCTTGCCCAAAAAGTGGTGCGGCGACGCGGCTTTTTTTTTTTTTTTAGCTGATTTTTTTTGCTTCAAATGTCGGCTGATGACTGCAAATGGTGCCCGACTAAACTTAGTGCAAATATATGGGAGTCCAGAGAGGCCACATAAAGCTTATTCTCAACCATAACCCAATCTAAAAACACGTTAAAATTGTGCAGCAGCAAACCAGTGAGTTTGGCGGTTTTGAGACATCATCTTTCATTGAAAAAAAAAACTTTTTCATTTTGCCGACGCGCATGGCTACGGCGACGCGCGCGCATACCAGAAACCAGAGACTTTTTTTTTTGGGCCTAAGGCAAGAGATATATGAAGGTACCTACAGACAAATTCGGTGAACACACTTTGAAGCAATTTTTGCGGTGGAACCATGTTTGCACTCATGCCGCACTCGTTCTTAAAGACGAGACGCGCGTGCTTTTTTGTAACCATATTGGTGGAAGACGCCCAGAGTGCATGCGCATTACCTGAGCGCAACCCGCACAACCTTGATTCTACCTCGGAAATGGCCGTCACCGAATTAGTCTGAAAGGTACATGTGCAAAAACACGATAGCATACTCCATAGAGGTAATACACTTCTGTCAATCATTACTGTACAGTGCATTACATGTACATGTCCACAGTCATAGAACACAAATATATATCAGATTTATAAAATACACTCTCCATGCTTAAATTATTTTGAATTAATTTTTTTTTTAAAACCCTGCTACCACTGTGTATACAGTAAACTGTCATTAAACTTAGTTCAGCTTTAAATTCCAACACCTGATGAAAAAAACTAATCAACTTGAACACTATGAGAAAGTCCACTCAAAAACATTAACTATAACCAGCGATTGAATGTTTAATGTAGCTTCAGCCTGTGTGCTGCAATAGACCTGAGACCTAATGGCTTTGTTTACATATGCGCTTCCTTATGGGAGCGAAGTCGGGACGCCAGACGAAGTAGGGACCGTCTACCACATAGGAAAGCACACATGTAAACAAAGCGTGACGTCATTACGTCTCGGGCCTATTTAATGAGTGAGTACATGTATACGCCAGTTCGAAAGCGAATTTGACGTCACCGGGCATTTGCGGTGAACTTTGCTGCATGTTCAACTTTTGCGAATTCGCAGCACGAATATTTGCCTTGACGTCATGAATTCGCATTTGTGTTCGCTTTTGCATTCACTTTTGTGAGAAGTATGATTTAACCCACATGACTTCATCCAAATGTCATCACGAAGTGACTACAAACAATATGATACAAGCCTCCGTATGAAATTTAAAGAGAGATTGAACTTCAAGTGAGAATGACTTCAGCTAGCTAAACATCATCACAAAATGACTGCCAGCAATGACACCAACCTCAATAGGACGGTCCCAAGACCCAAATACATAGATAAATACATCATTAAATATATAGCTTGTGCTTTGATGAAAGTTGTCAAAATCCACTTTGCTTTATATGTAGTTATTGATTAAACTTGCTCTTAGACTCCAGAGTTCATTTACTTTTCAAAGGAAACGAGGGGGAAAAAAAGTCATATTTGCTATTAATTTAATTAATACACATTTAACAAAATGGGCGTCTGCAGGGGTGTCAATGGGGGTGGGGTGGATAAATGTCCCCGCCCACCCTCGAAAAAATGATGAATTGAGAATATGCTGGAGAAAGTACAAGGATTTTTTGGGGAAACTGTGCTTTTGCCTCCCCCCCCCCCGAAAAAAATCCTGGCGACGCCCATGGTGTTCAATGTAACTGACAAGCGTTTGTTGGATATTAATGTGTTGTTTAGATCTAATGATTTTACACACACACACACACTTGTTCTGTAGTTGTGGGGACCACACACCCGCGATGAGGGATATTTATCAGTTATCAGTAAATAGTCCCCACAACTCAGTCCTAATTCCCCTGATAATTACAACTTCCCCACAACACTGTCCCTGCTGAAGCACACACACTGCAGTATTTGCTTCCAAAGCTAATTCATGTTTCAAAGGTGTGTTATTATATTCACTTTATCCATTCACCGTTTTCCCCATTCACCGTTTTCCCCATTCACCGTTTTCCCCATAGTCCTTGTAATGGTGTGAATGATACAAAGTTACAATTTTAAACACAATTTGTACTATGTACATGAGGTAGTTTCTTGCATTACATAAGGTGTGATAACCTAAGTACATACATGTATGGCAGCCACGTCACACTGAACTTCCATCCCGACAGGCTACAATAAAAGAGTTAGAAGGGAATTCTCTGCTCGTATCCAAACAAAGTTGTATCACACACAAATAAAACCCAGGTGACATTCAATCACAATCTTTGCCAATTTTACAGTTAAGGCCTTCTTAGTGGAAAATAAAAACATTGCATCGGTTTGTTCATGTATTACGTCGTCAAACTCTGAGATCATTCCAAAATGACAAAATAAAATGCACATTAAAAAAATGGCGGGAAATGTCACTGGATTCAATTATTATATATTATTATTTATATCAGGCTTCCGGCGGTAAAAATAAATCAGCATATTGTATGCTTTCATAAAAAGTTGACTGCAATAACATTGTTATTGCAGTCAATCCGGGCATTTTCGCAGGTTCCCGCTTGATCAAGAGCATAGAAAGTCACAGTTGTCAACCACTCAACAGAGCATAGTGCGCGCGTACCGTCAAACACGGAACACGCCGCGCGCATGCAGCGCACAGAAGGCCAGGTATACGCGCACTGTTGTTAACAATTACAGTGGCAGCTTCAAAACGTTTGATGTAAACGAAAAAGATGTAATGAAGACAGTGTCTTGAATTGTGCTTCTTGCAGATCAGGTCAGCCTGATATAAATAATAATAATAATATTGGATGGCTTGTTTTCGGTGGATACAAGAATATATTGCACTCGCTATGACAATATTGCACTCGTCTTCGACTCGTGCAATATTGTCATAGCTTGTGCAATATATTCTTGTATCCACCTCAAAGCCATCCAATATTATACAATTATTTACCCCATTAAGTTTACAGAATATGTGTAAAAAGTAACACAGTAGAAGCGGGTTGTATATATTAAACCACAGAGACAGGAACTGACTCATAGGTCAAGGTTAAAACTTAATTATAACTAAAAAAAGTCCCTGAGCTCAGACCAACCTCACTTTGCTATGTACAAAGACCCTAGCCTCTGGATGCATCCACTGTTGTTTTGTGTGTCCCCCCCCCCCCCCCCCCCCCCTAAGTATGTAGCGTCCAAAATAAACTTCCAAAAACAAACAAACAAATAACTTGTAACCGGTACATCATATTTTTAGCTGGCAATTTTGTTAAGTCTGCAATGTGGTTAAAATCAGAAATATTCCATATTTTCAAACATCCCGAAATTTGCTGTCAATTTTGCTGGGTTTACAAATAGCAGCACTTTTCAAACTTTGAATGCCAACATGTATGGTGTTGGGAAATAAAACAAGCCCTGTAAAAACGCGCATTGTCAAAAAAAGGGTGTCCTGTACTTTTCAATCAGGCCAGAGACCTTGACATTTGCAAAACAATGGTATGGTAGTGTGAAATTCATTAACTACTGAATTTATTTGCCTTGTGCAGTGCATTTACAGATGAACATGTATCCTATTGTGTGCAGTGAGTGCATGATACTCCGTAGGTGAAGTGCAATGTATATTTAAGTGTATTGAGTTCACAAACAGCTGTTTACAAATGTAGGTTTTGGATTTCATGGAGAAAGGTCACCCTGTCAAAATCTTTCAGCGTACATCAACTCTATTGTAATAGGTCAATTTACACTTCTGCAGAAACACTTTTGAAACATGTTTTTGTCTATAACAGATCTTCCAAGGTAATTTACAACATTTGCTTTTGCTGTAATTTTCAGAAAATAGATGGATTTTGGGGTTGGGTTAATATTTTAGAGCAAATATTGTTACATGTCCACTGATCTGTTTTTTTTTTTTTAAAGTTTTGTGTTCATAGATGCTAAAAAATCAAGGACCAAAAAATGCTGCTCTTGTAGTCTGGTTCCCTGCCCCTATACTTCAGACAAAATGAAGCAATTTATAGACGTCGCCGTCGCGGATTTGCCAGGTCAGGGAACAAGACTAGCTGGCTTGCACCCGTTCACGGATGTGTAACCGGGGAACAAAATGTGAACTGACTAAACTTGGTCAATTGGAGGCAGTATTTGAAAAAAGGCTTTTTTTCTCTCCAATGATGGTCCGCCGACCATCGTTGGAAATTGATACAAAAATTCCACGTTTCTTGAAAATGACAGCACACCAGGTGCCATGATTTCACAGGATGCTTGAGACTTTTACTCACTTACAGACAAGTAAGGAATTTCATAATAATTTGGTAGTTTTGTTTTGTGGTGTTTGCAAATGGATCGTATTGCCTTTAAATGATGAATGATTATAACACATGTTTACGCACATGTTTATGTACCTTTTGTGCATATAAGTACATGTACCACAATTAGGGAACATTTTTTGGATCCTGATTTCGAAAATGTTTTATGCATACCTCAAAAGACAATACCTTTCCTTTTTTAAATTCTGAGAAGCAGGTGAAACAATTATTCATTAATACTGAAGAAATTATCACTGTGTAAAAAGCAGATTTTTTCCCTGGCATAAAAATCATGACAGCATTAACCCTACCTATCCCAATTCCTGAAAATTCAATCCCTGCTCAACCTAAAATACAGTACAAGAACGCACATGACGTAAAAATGCTGACAACAAAAAGTATATATTACACATAACATCTCTTTCGGGTTAACAGTAGTAATTACAATGCAGTCAAAAAAATCACCACAGGGAAAAAGTTCTTAAAGATATAGTCCATCATTTGTAATTTGTGCATTTTGTTAGTTTGAAGCAACAAACGTACTAAAAATCTGAAGAAGGGTACTGAACAACTAACCTGATGAAGTTTCAGCTCAGCTTCAGCTGTATATTCCAAGAAAAACAGCATTCTAGGATCCGATTTCATATCAAAAGTTTCTGAATCATGTTTTGAATTGGGCCTGAATTCAGCGTCCAAGACACGTTCTCACTGAGCCGAATGCAGTTACGCGATGTCGCGCACCGATCCGACGAATCATAGCAACTGCACGCGCGTGTGCTTCGTGTCAACGCTTGTGCGCGCTTCACCGAGTAAACAAAACGAACTACTAACAGAAATTTCCTACGGTGCGTCTTAAGAAGCACCGTTGGAAAGGCCTTCTTTCGTTGATTACTTCAAAATGACAGCTTGCCAGAAAGAATAATTTCACAGGGAGTTTAGTCCCCTTACTATCTTTCAACCAAGTATGTTTTTCAACAATAATTACGCCAGTTACTTTTCGGATAGCTGCAAATGATGGACTATAGCTTTAAATAATTCCGCAGCCATCAGTTTCCAAGGCAAATCTTTACAAAAGTTATACAATACACATGTACCAATGTGTACACAACATTATCATGTTAATATGCACCTGCAACAAACCTTTATGTGTATTTTTTTTTATCAATTTCCCAGCGACATTGTTACATCTACAGGCAGCAATTCACTTCCACTTAAAGCTATAGTCCATCATTTGCAGCCATCCGAAAAGTAACTGGCATATTATTGTTGAAAAACATACTCGGTTGAAAGATAGTAAGTGGACTAAACTCCTTGTGAAATTAATCTTTCTGGCAAGCTATCATGTTGAAGTAATCAACGAAAGAAGGCCTTTCAAGACGCACCTTAGGAAAATTTAAATTAGTAGTTCGTTTTGTTATTCGGCGCAGCGCGCGCAAGCATTGGCACGACGCACAGGCGCGCGCGGTTGCTATAATTTGTCGGATCAGTGCGCGACAGCGCGTATAGCTGCAATTCAAAACAATTCAAAACATGATTCAGCAACTTTTGGTTTGAAATTGAGATCCTAGAATGCTGTTTTTCTCGGAATGTACAGCTGAAGCTGAGCTGAAACTTCATCAGGTTAGGCCAAGTTCGCGCAAGGACTATAGTTGACCAATGGTTAACTAATGTTTGCCCGAACTCTGTCTAGTCGACGGTGGTTGACTACGCTAGTCGACTATTTGGTACCAGCCTACTGGGGTTGGTTGCTTCGCTGGTAACCAATAGCCGCGCGCATTCATAACGCTAGCAGAGAGCCAGGATCCAGAAGTTTTGCGATGACATCTTGACCAGCGTTTGAGTAGAGACGTTCGCACGTTGCTATCAGTGCGCAGGTGTAAGGTACGTCACAAATCAACCACTAGTCGACTAATGGTCCTTGCCCGAACTTGGCCTTAGTTGTTCAGTATCCTTCATTAGATTTTGAACACTTTTGTTGCTTCAAACAAACAAAATGCACAAATTACAAATGATGGACTATATCTTTAACTCTATCAAAGTACATGTATGTTAGAACTACCCCAACATATCACGCTTGACGCACAGCAAGTGATGGAGCCATTCACCATGTACAACCATCCCATGAGGAGTGGCTGCCAGTTTTGCATGGCACACATATATCCCTTTTCTGTGCCAATAACCCCAAGTACACAATTACTTCAATGGCAAATTTCATTCGTAGGAAACACTTTGTAAAGTTGAATACAAAAATAGAATCATTCATCATCAAAAATTTCAGCCTGAGTAACAACTATATCATAATTTTCACTTTTTACAAACATGTATACAAACTCTTTCCAAGGAACAGAGCTATGAACTGCATATACTTACAATAACAATCAGAAACGACTAAAATGTAGGCTGTTTTTTTGTAATCTCACAGCACCCTGTATCGAATGCAGGGCCGGTCTGAGCAAACATCCTCCTCATGACGAAACGTGCGCTCGACCACGGCCACGTCCCAGACCGTCTCCTGGTTGAGCTGCTGGGCGATGCGCTCGATAGCCGCCAGGCCCAGCATGAGGTTGCCCAACGCGCGGCTGTTGCCTGGCTGTGCGTGGGTGATGTGGTCAAAGAACACCTCTTGCGCGGTCTCCTGGTAGGCCTGGACTTGCTCGCTGCTCTGCACCATCGGGGCATCTGAGGCAAAAAAGATAATATCCAATTTGGGAGAAAGAGCGGAGCTTGAGCAGTGCATCCTGGGTTTTAAAGTGACAGTTTTAGCTCGCATACTTCACTAGCCTAAGACTTATCTGTTTACCTGCTTAATAACCCTACCCCCTAGGCACTTTTGTGCTAGGGTGCAACCCCAATCATGCAAAATCCTCCAACTGCATCCATGTAAAAATTGCATACAGCCTCAATCCTCCAAAATCATCCGTTATTTCTTGAATGTGGTCCTTGGAGGGGTGACCACTGCCTTTATCCTGCAAAATCCTCCAGCAGTCACTGTCAATATGTTGAGGCAGAGCCAGTGACATCCTGGAGCAGTGCGGAGGAATTCAAGTATAATCTAGGCCTACATTTATGCACGGCTGAGCATAAACAACACAAGGTCCAGCCTAAGACCTTGACACAGTGCATCCTCCAAATTTTTTTAAGAAGTATCTCCACATGTTTTTCTTCTTCTCACCAATGCATGGAGATCAGTAGATGTTGACAGAGTACCCAAGTCATACAAATTGGAGAAAGGACACCTAGGCTTATTTAAGCTGGATGGATGTATGGGTGTCTTTTGGAAACTACTAAGTCTCCAATTTAAAATGTCTCAGACGCCTTTGCCGTTGGGGTTATTTACAGACAAAAGCTGCGGGTTAACACAGAGTGGCCAATAGAAAAGGGGGCGACAGGGATCCAACCAGCTCTGGCTCTGTCCCCAGCGCTGTCTTCTCCTACATCTTCAAGTGGTTTTTGGCCGCAGCCTTCCTGGACTTTGACACAATGTAGGGTCCATTTTTGGCTTCTTGAACATCAAATATAGGCTTCCAAGTAATTCTGGAGCCAGAGATGAACCCAAAAAACGGAAGCTATCCCACAGTCCGAGGACATCCTCGGTTTGTCTAGTTTCCCCGACTACACTCCTGGTAAAGCCTACCTGGACTGAGCAGCAGGATGAGCTTGAGGCAGACAAACGCGGGCAGGTCCAGGCCTGCCGTGTGCAGCTGATCAGCGATGGATGTGACCTTCGGCACCAGCTGGTGGAACTTGGCAGCGTTGAAGGTGGTCAAGTCGATGACCTGGTTCTTGGGAAGCAGGAGGCGACCAGCGTGGTCCAGGCAGTAGAAGATGGCGTTAAGACAGAGGATGCTCAAGACGTTCTTGTGTAGGAGTCTAATCTGGTCTTCGATCTGAGAGAAAGAAAAAAAAAAGAGCCAACAGATAATTCTTACATAAAAGTCCACAAGTAAGGGTGTATTACTGTCAAGTTGCTTTCTAACTCCCAACCACTGTAAATTTGACAATGGGTGTGTCCGAGTCCAGCAAAGTGTTCTAGGACAATATAAAGTAGCAGTAGTAGCCATAGTACAAAATAGCCCATTACAAACAATGAATCGATCATGTATAATTACTTGGATCGATTCTCCATCCAACTTTGACCCTGACTTTTAAAGCAGAATAGCAGAGTGCTTGGAAATTAAACCACACACGTCATTACTTGTGGGTTAACTGGCGTGTTCATGCAATCCAGTTGCAATGCTCCAATCAGTAAATACGGGAGATCCTGTTACATGCAAGATCCTTACCACGAGTTGCCTGTACATCGGCAGACCCTTGGCCCACTTCACCAAGGGCAGCATCTGGTGATTGACAAAGTGGCAGATGGTCTCCAGAAGATTCTTCTCCTCCCGAAGTGTGCTGAGGCAGCACTCGCCCACCGACTGATGGATGAAGACCTTCTCCTGCTCCACTAGCTCTTGGATAAGCTGTGGCAGACCAGGCGATTTGGGTTCAGTTTTAACAGCCAACCGACTCGGGCCTGGCTCGGACATGCAAGGCGAGACTGAGGACGGCCCAGCTTTCGAACCCCCATTGCCCGTTGAAGAGCTACATGTACTTGAGATCTTCCCCGTTACATGGTTGGAGGGCTGTCTTTGCTTGCGTTTCTTAGGAACAGGAGACTGTGTTGCTTGTTCTTCTTTGATTTTGATCAGGCGGCGCTGCTCAGATGAACCCTCGTACAGACTACGGCCTCCACGTTGACGATCTCGCCTGATAGCTGATAAGAAAGGAAATGAAAACAAATTGTCACTTAGGCTTGTGCACTCCCCAATTTTCCCCAAAATTCCCCAAAAGTGATTTACCAGGAACCTTCCTCACTCCTGCAGATTCCAACACCAAATGGTAAACTGTACACAAAAAGTGCTGGACTCTTGATTTTTGGTTGTATGAATAACCCCATGTAAAGTATAATCAGTCTACTAGTGTAGTACTCACTCTATCAGATTCCAACAAAGTTTGACTGAATGGAGATTGTTAGGGTTAAGGATTGTGAAAAGAAAAAAGTAGGCCTACCTTAATTTTAAGATTTCCCAGTGATATTTCAGCTTGATTTGATACATCATCATTTTAAATATCTGCATCAAGTAACAACTTGGACAAACTTACCTTCCAACTTCATCCCGAGGGACAGGCACTTCTGAAATCGGCAAGCAGCACATTGCTTTCGACTCCTTAAATCTACCAAGCATCCCCCGCCAAATGTGCACTTCAACTTCTCGTGCCGCTTGCTGTGTATTGTCCTCTTGAAGAAGCCCTTGCAGCTCTCACAGGAGTACATGCCATAGTGGTAGCCAGAGACTCTGTCCCCGCATATCGGACATTTGTTGTCAACGGGGGGTTGCTTTCTGAAGTCAAGTTCTGTGATAATGGTCTTAGATTCTGGAACCTGGCTCTGCTCTTCTTGTGCAACTGGTTTAGTTTCAACAGAGGCAGGCTTGTTTTTCAGGGAAGCATGCGATACAGATACATCTTCCACTATGTCTTTATTAGGTACTGGAGAGAGGTCAGGTGGCAGTGGGTTTATATCTGAGCAAGATCCCATCGTCATTGATTTTTCACGAGGCAGTGGATTCAGAGACTGATGCAGTTTCCCTGAAGTTGATTTGGTTATGGTGTCCAGGTTCCTTTTTGACGAACATCCCACTTCTGCCACCAGTGATAGCACATGCTCTGGCACATCCTCATCAGAAGAATTCGTTTTCCTAAAGGAAGCCTCAACATACATTTCTGGCACTACTCCTTTCTCGATGGCTAATGATGTTCCTAGATCTGGATGGACAAGTGGCAGCAAAGGTCTGCCGCCTTGCGTTACTAAACCAGATTGAGGTTTCATAATGGGCTGTTGCAACAAATTCAATGAATGAGAGTGTCTCAAAGATGTATCTGGAGGTAGGGATGGTAAAGGATTCTGAGGTAATGTGGTCTCCCAACTGACAACCCGGTTATTCTGCTGCAATTCAGGGGTTCTAATCACTGATTTATATAGCTCAGGCACTACATTAACCAACTCTGTGGTACATGTGTTGCGCTTTTTCTTCGGACACATATCAAGTACAGAGGAAGTGATCTCCTCTTCACTGTCAATTTCTGAGGTCTCCTGATCTTGATGGCTTTCCAGAGATGCCGGTGGCACACAAGAGAGCTCCAGGTTAGTTTCTGTATGCAAAATTCTATCCTGGCTCTCTGGAGTTTGTTCTTTTAAAGTCACCAAAATGTTATTTGAGTTGCTTACTGTGGAACAATTCAGATCTAGAGGTTGCTGGGCTTCTGATGAAATATCAACCACTGGCAGTTCTGGCAAAGATCTCTGCTGTGCGACATGGTGGTCAAGCAGATACTGAAGCTGCTGAATCTTGCACAATTCAGACAAGTGCATTCTCACTTTGGCATCCAAGAGGCTTCTGTAGTACTGTCCAGAGCCGGTGAGTGGCATCTCTTGCTTGACTGCAGTGGGATCCTGCAGTCGAGCATGATCGAGTAAATGAGAGGACGGGCCAACATGCTGCGGAACAGCCTCTTGGGTAGAGGAGATGCTGTCCAAGGCAAAGTGGCTAGCGGGGAGGACACCAGTGCGGCTGATACAGGAAAGACTGGCAGGGGCTTGTCGGGTGGATGCTGGTGGGAATACACCAAGGGGAACGGCACCTTGATGGCCTATGGCAGGTAGTAAGCCTCTTGGATACATCATCCTGGGAGGAATCATACGAGGAGCAACAGCAACTGTGTTGGTTAACTGAGTTCCTTGTAACCGCAGCAAGAGGGGGCTGTCTGTGGCTTGCATGAATTGGTACCTTTCTGGGGATTGTTGGAGCCACTCTATATCTGATGTGGTTCCACTCTGCGAGGGTGCACAATCCACTCCAAGCTTACCCGGGATGTGTCCATCACCTGATGGCACAGGTGTACAATCTCTGTCTGTTTTGTCCGTCATGTTGAAAGCCCCTCTTGCCTATCTGGGAAAATCACACACAATCCTGCAAAACGTGCAAGGACAGGTATACTATTCTGCTGTACTAACATACTTCTGCCGAACAAACCAAACATGCAGAATGACGATGTTGATGATTTGTACAATTAACAGCTGCATGAAAATACATCTATGCTTGAACTAGGCCATCTTTGCAGAAGCTATCCAGCCAAAAACTAAACCAGTGTCACAAGGAGGTGCCTGTCACTTTGTTGATGTTGCCTTACATCTGCTGCAGTTTATGTGTAATCCTTGCACTTGCATAATAACTTGTGCAGTGATTCCCTGCAAATCAAACAGAAAACATAAATAATGTTTTTGCTTTAAAAACATTAATGCTGAACTTAAAAGATCATTTTCTTTTCTTTCTTTCTTATTTACGAGTAAAAGCACATTCAGTAGAATTCACTGGTCTCCATGAGGCCCAGTCAAGAGCAGACAATGTGAAGAAATGAGAGTTTTAGATGTGGGAGGAAGACGCGTAATATTTCTCAATTTAATATTGAGAAACATTACAATTTGCTGAAAATAAATTAAACATTATTAAAATGACTTGAGTTTTGTACACGGCCAACAAATAGTGGAATACCAGCAGGCTATCTGAATTCTTTCCACAATCACTTCCTGTAAAAGCTAACTAAAATAAAATTTTTTAGGCAGATATGTGTTGGACAACCAAAATTACTGTGTCAGCAGACAAATACTTGATGTACGCAGTTCTGCTGCGGTGCTGTAAACTGTGTACAACTTGGAGGAGCCGGACATGCGGAAGTTGGACATGTTGGACTCAGTAAATGGGGCGCTATTTAGAACTCCTTTTGGCCTTTGGTCGGTCGTACTAGCTAGTACTCACTAGTCGTACGACGGACCAAAGGCAACATTCGAACAAAGGAGTTCTAGCGCCTCAGTTACTGGGTCTACGTAGCTTGAGTAACTCCAGCTCTAATGCGCTAGGCATTAGAGCTGGAGTTACTCAAGCTAGGGTCTACGTACAACATGACTACAAAAAACAATTGTCACCTTATGTCAGTTTTTTTTCTCTTCAATTCATACCCATAAACATAAAGGAAAGAATGTTGCAAGTGCAACCTAACGCCATTTCAGCGGTTGTGTACTACAAAGTCTATGGAGAGTCAAGAATTTTTTTTTTGCATTTCATAAGAAAATTGAAAATGTTTCTCAGTATCATTTTTGCAATGACTGACCTTCATCATCAGTCATGATCATGTTAGCCCAGGTTGGACGAAGTCTTCATTGCATTACGACTAACGACCAGGACGAGAATTCTCTACATAAGACCACCCAAAATTTGGACCAGATTTTTGTTACATTTTACCTCGTTACAGAAGCTTATTTCACGCCTACATTTTCTATGTGTCCTTACCTATTGGGCCGCTGGGTTCAGGAATTCCATATGTGATGCTGACCGACATTAATCAGGAAAATAAACTCTAAAGCAGCGTTAAACTTGTACGTGTTTGTAGTCTCTTTTCATCAGTTTATTCCCAGAGTCGTACGTCATATACAATGTACGTGCGTACGAAAGCCGGTGCGCCCCGCCAGCGAGGACCGGGCCCGGCCCGGCACGCGGGCACGTCGACCGGGGCGGCAAGTGGGTGCACAGGCCCGGTATTTGTCTTGTCTCAACGGTCGACTTGTCTCAACGGTCGACTTGTCTCAACGGTCGACTTGTCTCAACGGTCGACTTGTCTCAACGGTCGACTTGTCTCAACGGTCGACTTGTCTCAACGGTCGACTTGTCTTTCCATTTATCGCACATACGGTCGAGTTGTCTCAACGGTCGAGTTGTCTCAACGGTCGACTTGTCCCGAGTCGAGTTGTCTCAACGGTCGACTTGTCTGACCCCCAAGAGAAAAGCAGCGTCAGGTTGCAACATTCTTTCCAACATAAAAATGATACGATGCCTCAAATTTGTTAACAACCAAAGTGATACTACTTATTGATTGTTTATCCTGAGAAAGAAATATCATTCTTCTGTAAACAAAGTGTAACACACCTTACATTTTCGCAAATCACAACAAGACTGCTCTCTCACTCTGCTCTGTCATGTCTGTATCGAAATCGCTTCCGGTTTCGATCCAACTCGGACCCAAACCAACTCGGACCCAAGCCAACTCGGACCCATGCCAACTCGGACCCACTACCAACTCGGACCCATGCCAACTCGGACCCACTACCAACTCGGTCCCACGACCAACTCGGAACCACTACCAACTCGGACCCACAACCAACTCGGACCCACTACCAACTCGGACCCATGCATGACCAACTCGGACCCATCGTTTTCAATCATACGACATCGTTTTCAATCATTCATTTCATAAAGTTTGTCCACTTCTCATCTGTTATTACAGTGATGCTGTTTAGTATAAATTTTCATTGTAATTGTAAGGTAAATTATCTCATATCTGTCATGTCTGTATTGCAGCAGTATAACATTTTTGTCGTTGTAAAGCGCATTAAAATGCTATTTTGAAATGCGCTTTAAAAGTGTAATTAATTATTTATTATTTTTATTTGTTTCCATTAAAACATATTATGCTTTAAAAGTTTAACCAATTATTTATTTTCATTCAAACATATTAATTGACATCGTTTACACCATCTTGCTAAATTTAACAGCAATTTATTTCATTTTTACTCCAAACTTCAACATAACGAGTATACAAATTAAGAACAGATCTTCATAGAAAAATAAAATTGGAAAGTATGGCATTAAAACAAACACTTTCAAACATAACATTATTAACTCAATAAATATAAGTAAACATTAGAAATCAATAAATAAAATAAAGGTTCCATATTAAACAAAAAAGTTAAATCAAAAGAGTATAAAAAGTTACATTTGTAATCGGATTCGTAAAAAAACCCCACAAAATTCAAAGCCAGCATGTGAATTAAAAAATGATCAAGTTTAATCCCCTACAATTAGATGCAATGTCAATCATCAAAAAGGAGTATTGGAGCTCTGGGAAGATTATCCTTCAAGGCCTTGCAGGTAGCTGCCTGTATGTTCCACTATGATGTTCCACGGGGGGGGGGGGGGGGAAGTTAAATCCAAAAATTATTAAAAGTTAAACAGATTCATAAAAAAAACCACAAAATTCAAAGCCAGCATGTGAATTAAAAAACCCCAAACAATTACATGAAATGAAAGGCCCAAATGGTTATTTTAAATTAATAACTTCCTCACTGAAACAAAATGTGCCACTTAAAACCACTTATTACACGACACAAAGGCCTGCAAAAACAAACAAGTAATTTATTTTTTACTGAAAATTATAATCCTTTGATTTTCGTTTGGAAAAGAAAATCGAGATTTTGAAAAAGCACGTATATATCAAGTTGTACAAATGACATACGATATGCCTAACCTATACTATACGCTATTAATACCTCTTGGTTTAGCTTCACAGGTCACGGTTTCAAAAAGCTAAGCACGTTTAGTTTCATGACGTTCAAAACAATAAGCGTTTAGCAACAGTATTTACTGTACGCATCAATACAAGAAAACAACAAAACTAAAAGCCCCATTCTGCCCAATGTAGTTACAGAATATCTTCACTTTATAAGCACTAACATTAAGATCACCTAAAAAAATATAATCTCTAAAACTAATGATTGAGTCATTGTTGGGTCCGAGTTGGTCGTGCTTGGGTCCGAGTTGGTAGTGGTACCGAGTTGGTCATGGGTCCGAGTTGGTCGTGGGTCCGAGATGGTCGTGGGTCCGAGTTGGTAGTGGGTCCGAGTTGGTAGTGGGTCCGAGTTGGTGTGGGTCCGAGTTGGCATGGGTCCGACTTGGCATGGTTCCGACTTGGTTTGGGTCCGAGTTGACCTGATACCTCGCTGGTTGGTACAGGATACAGGTTCCCGCCCACCGTAACGTTAGATAGGCAAGGTACTTTAACGGTGTGCATGTGGGAACCAGTTGAGACAAAAAAGATGGCGGCACCCATGAGACGATTTCTTTGCTCTGCTGCCGTTGTTTTTATGTGGTTTGCTTTGCCATGCTTTACATTACAGCAGGTAAGAAAAATGATGTGTTGTTTTTCCTGGAGTGTCGTTATAAATGCAAAATGTGCTCAAATATGTAAATCTTTGTGTAAGTTTACATGTTTGGGGAAATTTTAACGTACATTTTTATTTCGGCGTAAAGCTAGCAGCGGGCCGGGGGGCCGGGGACAAATGTGAGGGCGTTGTTCATTTTATTTGATGACAGATTTTCTAAACTTCTCTGATTTATTTTGTGCTAAAATTGTACAGCTCATTTTTAGTGTTTCATATAAAATATATTTTCAATCATGACTGCTGTCTACCTTAGTTTTATCCATTAATTAAAATAATTAATGCATGATTCATGAATATAATATTAATAAAGGACTTTGGACTTTGTTCTTTCCTCGCCTTCCACCGCTGTGACCCGGGTGCGATTCCTGCTATGGCCACATGTGGATTGGATTTTTAGTTCCTACATGATTCCGTGGATTTTCCCCAGAATATTCCTCTGGGGTTTTCCTCCCACCTCCAAAACTCTAATTCTTCTCATTGTCTCCTCTCTGCAGGTTTCTTCAGGCTTGTGAGCTACAGTGCCTAGGCTAGGGTGCTTTTGAGGAATCCTTGGTTTCATTACCAGAGATAAATTAATAATAATAATAGTATTGTTTTTGTTCTTAATTTGGCAGGATCAAAATGTTGAAAGCTTCTTCAAGAGTGGGCACACAAACAACTGGGCTGTTCTGGTAAGTGTCATGACACTCTAGCCCATACATAGCCTACAGAGGAGATAAAATACAGAAAAAATTACTGGTTTGAAATTGCTGGAAGCTGCTAAATGTACAGGTCTTATGCCCTGTGACTTTACACCCGATTTGTGGGTCCATAGCTCCCTTTTGCATAAAAAAATACGAGTGAAGCAAACTTAGTAACTCAGCAAATTTGAAACCTTTGACTACTCATTACTCACTAGACTGTACCAGAGATGGACCATTAGGTAAGGCGGAGTAAACAAATAACCAGTTTCTCGTTCCTGCCGCTTACTTTTTTCCCGGTTGGCTCCTATTTAAAAAAATTTTTTTTAATTCATACATTTGCACTGTATTTTACACATATATTTCCAATTTATTTGTTTCCAACAAAATCATACCAAATTGTAGCTATGTAGAAAGGGTGATGGGTGATTGGACACAATTTTGTATCATCGAACGAGTCGAGAAAATGAAAAAGAATCAATCCGTCATCTTTGAAAATCTACCATCTTGGGGGAAAACAGTAGCTGCCTCCTTCATTTTTTCTCAAAGGACGGATGAGAAAATACTTAATTTTTTTTAATGTGGAGAAAACGTATAAAAATTGAGATTGGTAAATATTTCTTTAATCCTCCTGCTGTTTGAACAGTTACAGACAGTCAGACAATCAATCTTCTTCTCCTGCCCTGCCTTTTACACAGGCTAGACACCAAAAGTCAGATCATATTTCAAACAAGCACTGTGACTAATGAAATTCAGTCAACAGACAAAAGCATGCAAGAAGTAGGCACAGCTTGCTTATCAATCATCAACAGTCAGAGCATAGCTGTATCAGGTTACATTAGCAGTCACAGCAGGTCAATCCTGCTTTATGTAGGCTGGGAGCTCTTAACTGTTGGAAACAGACACTTGATTGATTTTGACTGAAAGAACAACTTTGCACATAATGTATATTTGCATAGGAGGGTCTTCGGTCTTGCAGTTCTTAAGAAACGTTGGACTGATGGTCTCATCAACATGTTCTTATAAATCTTTTTCTTGTTTTGCATGTTTTCACTATCTGAAATTTGTATTGGACGCTCAGTGCAAAATCTATTCTGTTTTCAGGTGTGCACGTCGCGCTTCTGGTTCAACTATCGACATGTCGCCAACACCCTGTCCATCTATCGCAGTGTGAAGCGACTGGGCATACCGGACAGCCAGATCATCCTCATGTTGGCTGATGACATGGCCTGTAATGCACGCAACCCAAGACCTGGTAAAAACAAAATAAGTATTGTCACACTTCTGGTCTGAACAAAATAAATTGTACACAGTTGTAGCTGTTTTTGTGGAACACTTGGGCATTGTGGTCTGGTGGGTCTAAGTTTTAAGATCTTGCAGGTGTTATTTATATTTAAATTGTGGGTCCGGGGCCAGTCAGTTAGATATGGCGCTTGTGCCCCTGGGCAAGATTTGGGCAAGAGAAATTGCTTTGTTTTGCTGAGGAATGAAGAAATACCTTTGAGGGTAGAGTTGGTTGTGTTTGTCACCCTCGTCAAAATGGTTTAGGCGAGGCGTCATAAATAAATTAACCATTCGAATGCGTGCGCACGCTAGGAACGGGGCCTTTTGTTACATCTACCTCCCGTTCGCATGCGTGCTCACGGCATCCCGTTCCGAACGCGTTCTTATGCAACAAAAGGCCAGTCACGGTCTGTGCACACACGAAGAGCTCATCGGCACTAAAAGTATCCGACAAACTTTCTCGTCGCTACAGGCTAGCCCGTACAGTACAGGGGGGACGTATAAAAATACGGGCACCTTGAACGGGGAAATCAGTCCTTTGCAAACTTTACTATCAGTATGTAAAAACCTTGAATATTCGATTTATAATTCGCTGATCGTGTGTACAAGGCCAGTTTATAACATCAGTCAGCAAACTTCTTACAATGTTTAAACTTGTTTTTGTGAACATTATATGCAGTACCGTACCTGCTAATTTACATTTCCGTGCTTGTACCCAAAAAAAAGAAGAATACTCGCACTTCGTTTTACATAAAATAAGTGTTAAACGTCTCAATTATTTTTTGGGTTGGATACGATCTAGTGTAGTATGTCTGGTTTTCTCAATTTTTATTTCAAAACGACTTTATCTTCTTCCTCTGTTTCATTTCTGAACTGCAAACGCGTTTTTCAGTAGATTCCGTGGTAAAATTTAACGAATTACGCCCAGGTTTCTGGCTTTTAAATTGCCCAGGAATATCTTAAAAGGTCAGGCATGGTTGTCTCTTGTTGAAGTCTCAGTAATTCAAATTCCAAATCTGATTTAAATTCCAAATCAAAATGGATTTTTTTTCTGTACAAGTATATACACATAGTTGTTCTTTGCATCTTTGTTGTGCTGCTCCTGTTCTCGCACGCAAAGGAACGGTTGATTAACATAACAATACCCCCTCAGTGAAGCTTGCCCAAGCACGATCTACGGAACGCGTTCTAAAAGCCGTTCGGCACGGGAAGGAATGGGGGCCGTTCAGAACGGGAAGGAACGCGTGCGCACGCGTGCGAACGGTTAATTTATTTATGGCGCCTCGCCTTAAAGAGAGTTTTATTTTACAAAAAAAGCTATGAATCTGATAAACAAAGGAATAATGATGTACGAGTGTCAGCAATAACATTATGAATATCTGTGCTTTTAATGTTAATACATAATGTTAGAATTTGTGTAACTCCCACTATTTGAATTTCCTGCAGTTAAAAATTTTCAAAATAAGATTGTTTTGTGGGGGGGGGGGGAGAGGCCCGGTGGGGACACTGCAAAAGTCCTCCCAAAAAAAAAAAAAATTTGCTGTGTTATTTCTGGATGTCATTACACATGTAAATTGCTAAATTATATTATGGCACTGTACACTAATGTTGAATCTTGAATTCAATTCTTCAGCAATTTTGTTGTCAGTTTTAAAGTGCAAACCCATTTTTATGTCTGCAGCAACTGTGTTCAACAATGCCAATCAGCACATCAATGTATATGGAGACGACGTAGAAGTGGACTATAGGGGTTATGAGGTATGTACCCTGTAGAGGGTGAGTAAAAAAAAACGAAATCCAAATGTCGGGACCATTGTTTTAGTGAAGTTCTACATGTAGCACTTTCAAAATCTAGGATATAAAAGCCCCATGCAACAGCTTTCATTTAGTACAAAAATAATTCAAATCACTCATGTACTTTTCAAGTTACGGAATTTTAAACACAACCGTTTTAAGGTTCTGTCTACGGATCACAAACAATTTCAATGTTCTTTCAGCAAAACGAAAACAAATCACATAGGGATGAGTGACAATTGTTTTCATGTTGCTGAAAGAACGCACACCTTTTTTGTGATCCGTGGACAGAACTTTAAAACGGTGGCTGTGTTTAAAATTCCGTAACTTGAAAAGTACATTGAGTGATTTGAATTATTCTTGTACTAAAAGAAACCTATTGAATTGGGCTTGCATGTCCTAGATTTTGAAAGTGCTACATGCAGAACTTCAATAAAACAATAGTCACGACATTTGGGTTTCGTTTTTTTTTACTTACCCTGTACATGTAATCTATCTGCAAGTTAAAAATACGTTCTCTTGTATGGATCAGCTTGTGTTAGTTTGGCACATTCATGTTCTCTGTTTAGATGGTTTCTTGCTCTCAATCCAAGAACTCCCCAACTCCTTACATGACATTTTTAAAAGCTGTATCAGTCATCAGTAAAAATGGTGCTAATCTCAAGCGTACTTCACAGCCTAGAAATGCTAAGCTTGACATGGTTAATTAACCCTACCTCCTTTGGCATTTTCGCTAGGATGTAACCTCGATCCTGCAAAATCCTCCAATTGCCTCCATGTAAAAATAGCATACAGCCTCCATCCTGCAAAATCCTCCGTTATTTCTCGAATGTGGTCCTTGGAGGAGTGACCACTGCCTCAATCCTGCAAGATCCTCCGGCAGTCACTGTCAATATGTTGAGACGGAGCCAGTGACATCCTGGAGCAGTGCAGAGGATTTCAAGTATAACCTAGGCCTAAACTCATGCACGGCTGAGCATAAACAACACAAGACCTTGACACAGTGCATCCTCCAAAATCAGCCACACATTTTCGCCATATTGCCTCAATCCTGCAAATCCACCATTTTGCAAAGATGATTTTTGAGTATTTGGGAAGGTTTGGGTTAAAGTATGGTCACTTTTGGAGCTAATACTGTCCCTCAAATTGGCACTGCTTTTTATGCTTGCTTATTGTAGTTTCTGAGAAATGAAAGGAAACTCCAATAGCAAAAAATTGTGAGCCTAGCAGCACCATGGACTGAGAGATCACAAACGTTCCATTCATTATTTAACCCATTATTCATTGTACCATTCCAAGCTGTCTTGCCTGTTACTCCCTGTACTGCCCCAAAGCGCCCTAGCACTGTACAGTTTCATTGATTCATCTTGGAATCAATATAATGTAATACAATATAGTACAGTTGCTAAAGGTTAATCAATTCTTGATATGCATTTGTTTTTGTGGTTTTTTTTGTCACAAGGTCACAGTGGAGAATTTCATCCGTGTCTTGACCGGCCGCCTGCCCCCTGGAACGCCGCGCTCCAAGCGTTTGATGACCGATGACCGCAGCAACATCCTGGTCTACATGACCGGCCACGGCGGCGACGGCTTCCTGAAATTCCAAGATGCGGAGGAGATCTCCAACGTGGAGCTGGCCCACGCCTTCCAGCAGATGTGGCAGAAGAAGAGGTGAACAAAGGTTTTTGATGTTAACCCTAACGTACCTGAATCCCAACCTCGTTTCCATGGGTACAAGATCTTGCTGCGCCATGTTGTTTCCCATCATGCCTTGCACGATCTCAACCCCTGGAATTGTGTAATTTAAATGTGTCAAAATATGGCATATTATATATAATTAATTTGTTTTACGTGTCGACGCCATCTTTAAAATGTTAAAAGTTGTGATTTTGAAGAATCAATCCTTTCAAACATAACGTTTGGACATTGCGTTAATTAGCAAAGATTTGTATGAAAAAAGTACATGCCCCTTTTGTCCCTTTACAACCGAAGATACAGGGGTTTTTCTAGCGAAAAACGAGGCTGCCATAATCAATATCGTACAGGCATCGTGACTTTTGAATAACAATTTTTTTCCGTACGTGACGTTACGTGCAAAGCACGCGAGCGCATTATGGGCACGCCCGGCGTGCAATCTTCAAAATGAACGCGCAGTACGCTGTGAATAGCCAGTCAGCATCGTTTACGTGTACATCACAGCCAGGTGTTAGTGAAGGAACGCGCACACGCCCATGGAGTCGAGGCTGCCTGAATCCATAATTAGATAAATTTAAGAGGAGAGTGTCTGTAACGATGGAGAAAGGGCAGAAATTTAATTTAAAAGGGTGGGGGTGTAAAAAGTACTTCTATGTGTTGTGCCTGCTTTGTAGCATGTACCACATACACACTTTTTCTGAAGGTGATTGGTGATGAAGAAGTACAAGGTAAAAGAGACCGGCCTATGTCAAAGTCCAAATTGGAAAAGTCTGGTTTATCAGGACTGTACTGCACGTATGGAACAAGTAACTTTCAGTGCATCTCAGTATTTGTTTTTAGTAGGGGAAGGGGGTTGAACCTGTTACCTGTTACCTATCCCGTAGTCTTCTGACCATGGGGCACCCCTTGAAGACCTGTCAACCAGCTGCCTCAGACTTTCTCAGGGAGTCACTCAGCGTCAGGTCTGTCCACTCCGCGATGTTGTCCTCCCACCTCTTTCTCTGCCTGCCTCTCTTTCTTCCTCCTTGTACAGTGCCTTGCAGGATCGTCTTAGCAAGTCCTGATGATCGTGAAATGTGCCCATACCACTTCAGTTTGCGCTTTTTCACAGTGGTCAGGAGATCTTAGTAGGATCCAATGACTTGCCTGATTCTGGTCCGTACCTCCTTGTTGGTGATGTGATCTTTGTAGGAGATGACAAGAATCTTTCTGTAGCATCTCATTTCTGTGGCCTGTATTCTCCTCTCTAAGTCGGCTCTTATAGAGTCCAAGTCTCACATGCGTAGAGGAAGACGGAGATGACCAACGAGCGCATCAGTCTGATTTTTGAGCTGAGCATGATGTTCCTGTCATTCCAAATGGGCTAATTTTGTCAGCGCTGCTGTAGGGGGTTGAAGAGGATTCATTATGTTTCCAATCAGTGTGAATAAAGTAGGGGTAAATGCATGTCTTTGTAAATGATTGTCAGCTTATAAAAGATCTCAATTTTGGGACTTGATCACAATATCCTTTTTTAGAAATCACATGTAATGGTTATTCCATTCAGGTATCATGAGGTGCTATACATCATCGACACCTGCCAGGCAGTGTCTATGTACCAGCTCTTCTATTCTCCTAATATCCTCGCAGTGGGCTCCAGTCAGGTCGGGGAAGACTCACTCTCTGTAAGTCCAGTGTTTTCTTCTTCAACTTTTCTATATAAGATATAGTGCATCATTTGTAATTTGTGCATTTTGTTTGCTTGAAGCAACAAAAGTGCTCAATATCTGAAGAAGGGTGCTGAACAACCAATCTGATGAAGTTTCAGCTCAGCTTTAGCTGTATATTCCGAGAAAAACAGCGTTCTAGGATCTCAATTTCAAATCAAAAGTTGCTGAATCATGTTTTGAATTGGGCTTGAATTCAGTGTCCGAGACACGTTCTCACTGAGCCGATTGCAGCTGTGACTGATCAAATAGTAGGAGGCTTAGCTAAATTAGTTGTGTATGTAAAGAAATGTATCAATATGTAAGATTTCCCCTTCATGTGGCATAAATGGGAAAATGCTGCACCATTAAATAACTGTATACAGATATCTTAAAAAAATCAATTTAACCCATAATTAAGGGTGAGTAAAAAAAAAGAAACCCAAATGTCGGGACCACTGTTTTAGTGAAGTTCTGCATGTAGCACTTTCAAAATCTAGGATATGAAAGCCCAATTCCTAAACTTTCTTTTAGAACAAGAATCATTCCAATCACTCATGTACTTTTCAAGTTACGGAGTTTTAAACACAACCACCATTTTAAAGTTCTGTCCACGGATCACAAAGCAAAACGAAAACAATTCACACACATCCTTATGTGGTTTGTTTTCGTTTTGCTGAAAGAACACTGAACTTTTTTTGTGATCCATGGACAGAACCTTAAAATGGTGGTTGTGTTTAAAACTCTGTAACTTGAAAAGGACATGAGTGATTTGAATGATTCTTGTATTAAAAGAAAGCTTATGAATTGGGCTTTCATATCTTAGATTTTGAAAGTGCTACATGCAGAACTTCACTAAAACAATGGTCCCGACATTTTTTTTTTTTTTTTTTTTACCTCACCCTGTATATAATACCCTCCATGACAGAACCATGTCTGGCTGACTGGTGAAAAAAACCATAGAGCTATATTAAATTACTAGAGCGCTAACTCCTCATTCTTGCGCGCGTAGACGCTTTGAAGCCGCTCTGGGCGCAGACATTTTGAATTATGTGCATGTTTGTAGAACACAATCAGAATAGATGGATTGAATTTTAAAAGTGTACTCTAAATGCAACGCGCAAGTAGAAGATACGCCAACAACTTAAGCGCGTCATGACGGTTAAAAAAATGTCACGGCGAAAATCACATGCACAGCGGAGGGACGCGCACACGTTGCGCTGTTTGCGTTGAGCAAAGTGAAACACTCATTTGCTGATCGTGCGTTTTGGTTTTGGGCGTATCGGCTTCGATGACGCACCGGTATGTAATACAAAGGCAGATATGCAAATAGCGGTACAAAAGTTGTACAAAATTTCGAGTTTTTCATAGGTTTGTGCACAAACATGGATGTGCCCATCATTACTTTGTACATCGAGTTAGCGCTCTAGTAATTTAATATGGAAAAAACTCAGCAATTGTTAAGGTAACTTAGTTTGGGACGGTAATCTTGCTTGTTTACAGTCTTCACTATGTGAATTAATTTCTTTTATTATAATTATTCTTTTTTGCAGCATCATGTAGACCCAGCTATAGGTGTGTACATCATCGATCGGTACACTTACTACGCCCTGGAATTCTTGGAGAAAATTACACCGACCAGCAAGAAAACAATGGCAGATTTTGTAAGTATGCTTTGGATTTACCACGTTTATCTTCCTTAAGCAAGTGTATTTTTGTGCTTAGCAAATGTTCCGGGCTCAGCAGCTCTAGAGTTCCCACAGTTATCTGAAAAATCCTGGAAACTCCTGGAATTTAAATCTATCATGGGAAAACTCATGGAATTTTGTTGTTTTACTAGGACCCATGGAATGTTGATATTCCAAGAAAAAAAGTCATGGAATCTTGCACAACCCATACGTGATGATGCGTTATTATACAAATATTGAATGCTTCGAGTGGTGTAGTAAAACTAGCCTCCCGAGGTTATCCATGGACATTCTATAGAATGGTCCATGGATCACCGAGGGAGGCTAGTTTTACTTCACCACGAGATAAAGCATTCAATATTTGTTTTATAACACTTCACCCACAGATTCTGCTTGGTTTTAATATTTTAAATTATTTAAATCTGAACACAGTTGAAATAAACTTTAATTTCAATGCAAAATTGGTGGAAAATGTATTTCTCTCTTCCAAACTACCCCTTCACAAATGTTTGAACCCAACTCTGCAGCGCGCTCTCTTTGGAACAAAACGCACTACGCCCAACGCGCACATCAGCATGCATTTGCACACAAGTACCGTACCGTGGATATAGTACTTTGGTTGCTAATGGTATAGTACTTTGGTTGCTATGGGTATAGTACTTTTGGCCGTGCACAGAAAGATAGCAAAAAAAGAAAGTATCATGTGACTCACTCTCGGCCAATCAAGACACAGAATCTGTGGGCGAGGTGTTATAAAATTGGCTATGTCAGTCTTCCAGTTTGCATTCCAGTTTTAACATACTTCCTGTTTGTGCATGTATGCTCTATACTTGTTACATGTTCAATGTACCATTGTGATGCTTTTATGGTGCTCAGTGGTCTTGAGACAAAGTGGAAGGCTTAAAGGGAGTGGTGTCCCTTGCCTCGGTGTGATGACTGGCCCGTGTAATGTAAACAGAATTGGTCACGGAAAGCCCTTATTTTGTCCTAGAAAAGGTTTCATGTAATGATTTCTGTGGGAACCCTGCACAAAGCTCCATGTATAGTTCCTGCACAGATGCTACAGGGGTGTAGAGACAGCAAACTGGTCAGCCACTTAGCCTACTGATGAATGCAAAAGACATGCAATTTATCAAAGTTTTCCATATTTGAGATGAAAGTTGTTTCCTTTTTCCTCCGATCATTCCAAAGTTCCAAGTGTGTCCGCAGCACGTCTGTCGCTCCACCCCGGGCGTACGCACCGACCTCTTCCGGCGCGACGTCGCCAAGGTTCCCATCACAGACTTCTTCGGGAGCGTCCGCAACGTGGAGCTCTCGCTGACGACGGTCCCACTCAGCAATGAGACGGAGAGCACAGAGGGCGGTGCGCAGGTCCAGAAGCAGGGGGAGGAAGAGGGTAGGAAGGAACAGCCCAAGCGCTACGGGTTTGTTGACCAGTTTCCAGCCATGGCAGAAACAAGAGAAAAGGTATACCTATTTAATCTGATTGTCAACTACACTTAAAAATAATTTTTGAACAAAGTTTACTATTACTTTGGTGCACAAATCATACATGGTACGTCGTCTTGCACAGTGCACGATTCTTTGCTCTGTTTGCTTCAAGAATCTGGATTTAAGGGGAATATACATCATTGGCTTTTGCTGTAATTTTCATAAATGAACTATTTGAGGGGTTAGTATAATAGATCAAATATTGTTACACTGACATGTTTGAAGTTTTGTGTTCGAAAATGCTGGAAAAACCAAGAAAAACAAAACTGTTCAAGTAGTCTGGTTCCCTGACTCCACTAAATATTAAATGGATCAGTTTAGGTAAGGGTACCAGTCTAGCTGGCCTGCACCCGTTCATGAACATGTAACCAATAGCAAACAAAATTTGGACTGAATAAATGGTAAATTTGGAGCAGTAGTTGAAAAATAGTTAGGTTTTTCCAACGGTGGTCGGCCGACCACCGCTGGAAATTTTACAAAAATACCATTTTCTTGAAAATGACTTCACACCAGGTGCCATAATTTTACAGGATGCTTTAGACTGTCATTTACCAACATCCTATTAAGGTACATGTATTTCGTAAAAACTTGGTAGTTTTATTTTTCGATGTTTGCAAATGTTGTATATTCCCTTTAACAGCATGTTTGTTTCCTTTACAAGGTGTATCTGTAGTATGCAGTTGACCACATAACACACACAAAAATCACCAAAGTTTCATGTTTTCAGCAAGATTTGAAGTTATATACCTCATTATTCACATTCAGCGAAGCTTGGCATTCTTCAGTCTTCAAGTCCTTGGGGTTGACAAGATGGTTTCTGATTGAAAGTTGTCCTGAAACCTCGCAGTTTACTCGTAATTTGAGACAAATTGGTTGTGGACTTCAACAAAACATTACACTGCATTTTTCTTTTCTTTATTTTGCATTTGTGGAGTGGTTTGAGCTAAAACATGGTTTGCAAGGGATACATGAACAACTCCCTTGCCAAAACAATTTTTTTTTTTTTACAGCTATAGCAGTCGTAGATTACTACAGGCACAGACAAAGTAAATTTGATGAAGTGAACAATCTTAGTTGCGACATTCACAATCATCCTAATGAATTCACTTCACAATTTGCATGTTATATGAACTGAATCCGGTAATCCGGATGTCAAACTCCTAATTTCTTTGTTCGACTTTTTCACAAAAATGTATTTAAAAAGGAAGTACATGTACCATGATATTAAATCCTGGCTGTTTTAGAATGGACCATGTTTTTTTTTTAAATAAATATTTTTGACACCCTTGGGGTAGTGGGCAACATACACCCTCTGCTTTGCCTTTTGTGCCATTTTCTCTCAGGTAAACGGAAAAAAACATGACCCACAGTTATTGTCATGGAGATAACTTTTGTTTTTGGAACGGGAGGGTTACTTTACCAGCTGTAGCAGTTTTGAAATGACTACAAATTTGTTTGATTTGTCCCCAGGAGACGTCCGTGTCAAAGGTCAAGTTTTCCAGTCAGTTTCTGGTAGCAAGCAGTGCCTTCCTTGCTTTGGTTGCCATCATTATCTTTGGCCGGATCGCATCGTGACCCTAGATTTGAATACTATGTATTGGCAATAGGGAATGGGATCTTTTTTCCCCATTATTTCAATGAGAATGGTTGGTTTCTTTTTTTTTAGGGGGGGGGTTTAGTTTTTTCACCTCATAATTAAGTTTGCAGCTTGTAAGCATAAGTCAAATAATTTGAAAGATAATGTAGATGAAATTACTTTCTGTAAGGTACAATTGTTTAAAATTTTGTTATAGGTTTTCCCGGCTATTTTAAAGCATTTTGCATTCAGATTCACCGACTCTAACATTCAATTTCGTCCGAGAATAATTTCACATGCTTTTAACAAAACCAATTTTAGTCATTTACCATTCAATTTCAAAGTTTGGTTACCCTTTTTTAGTCACCGAGTCGAGAATATTCGTCATTACAGATCAGGTCATTACAGACGTCCAGTATGCAAATAGGTTTAACTTTGTGAATTTTCAAGGACAGTGCAAATGTCTTTTCGTTAGACTGAAATGCTCAAATCTTGTTTAAGTGTATGGGTTGAAATTCATTTCTTGTTGTTTGTAATAATTTGTGAAGAGGAAAGAGTATTGCAATGTTCAATAATCTTACTTAGAAGTAATGAATGTAAATACTGTGAAACAGTAGTCTTTTTTATGCTGAACATTAAATATAAATAAAAGTGATTCGAAAAAAAGTGCTGTGTATATGTATGTGAGTTATTTCTTAACTTGTATTGTACATGTACACTCAACCAAAAAAAAAGTCCCCCCTTCCAATACTTTTTTGACTAACTCAAAAACTACTGAGCACCTCTTAATCAAATAACGACTAATCAGTACAGAAATTCCTTAGCAATCCAGCCATACTCTTTATTTGGCCCAAAACAGTGATAATGTGTACCAATTTATGCAATTTATGACCAATGATACCGAAAACAGTTGCACTTTTGTATACGTGCAAGTTGTGGTTCACACTCGCCTTGCACGTATCCAAAAGTGCAACTTGTTTTTGGTACCACTTGTCATAAATGGCATAATTTTGTACACAATTTCACTGTTTTGGGCCCAACAAAGAGTATGGCTGGATTGCTAAGGAATTTCTGTACTGATTAGTCGTAATTTGAGCAAGATGTGCCCAGAACTTTTTGAGTTGGACAACAAATTATTAAGGGGGGACTTTCTTTTTTGGTTGAGTGTATCTATGCAACAGCATAGAAAAAAAAAAATTGGAAATTGGCACTTGAAACCTATCCCCCTGTGTAAGACACGGATGCAGAATTATTTGTATATGAAAAAAATTAGTCAAGCAAAGTACATGTATAGCCCTTTCTTTTGTTTGTAAGCGTTGAGCTCCATGTTGTATGGGCTGCTACGAGGGTATAAATTTAAGCCACGGTTGGCAACAGATTTTAACATACTTTGCCAAAAATTGGGTATCAACACCCCAGTATGTTAAAAAGAGACACTTTTATAATGTCTTTGGTAGCAGTGGTTGGTTAGTTTGTATTTCCAACAGTCCAATGATATGTTAAACACTTGTATTCTATATTTTTGCAATGTTGACCTTCCAAAGTTGGCCCAACACATGATTGGCAAAAAATGCCATCCAAAGAGAGGTCTATAATAGATTTTTACAGGAACTTGGACATTTTAAGGGTTTTTTTTTGTTGCTTGTATGCAAATATATTGGACCAGTACATTCACACAACAAATATCAATACACACAGGTGCACTCGTTACTGTCAACCAGGTCATTGGTAGTGTTTTATTCAATTCTTTAAAATCTTTCAATTTGAGCATTTCAACGTTGTTGTAATTTCAAAAAATGTACACATTTCATACATAAATATAAAGACTTTCAATTTGATTGTCAATAGTTGGCACAATAGTTAGCAATCGGTCCTGTAGTGAAAGCCATATCTGCTTGGGAGTTACAAATCAATTTACCCAACTCCAACATTTACAGAATCAAGTTTATAAATTAGACAATTTATTATTTACAAGCTTTTTAAAAACAGTGTGTCTTTGGTGATTTTTTTCAGTAAAATATTATCAGCTATTTCATTTATGTTAAAAATGTAAGAATCAAATAGGCTTAAAGGGAATATACAACATTTGCAAACATAAAAAAAAAAAAAATACAAAATTATCGTGAAATAACTTACTGGACTGTTAGTGAATGACAGCATCCTGTACAATCACGGCCAACATTTTCAAGACAAGTGATATTTTGTATTAATTTCCAACGCTGGTCAGCCGACCAGCGTTGGAAAACACTGGCTTTTTTCAAATACTGCTCCCACATTAGTAAGTCCACATTTTGTTTGTCATTGATTACACACCTATAAACGGTACAAACCAGCTAGACCGGTTCCCTGGCCTTCCAATTCCCCAACGTCTATAATTGCTTGGTTTCATCTTAAGAGGGGTCAGGGAACCAGACTACAAGAACATGATTGTTTTTCTTGGTTTGTCCAGCATCTACGAACACAAAACTTCAAACAAGTTAGTGTAACAATATTTGCTATAAAATGCTAACCCCCCAAATCAATCTGTTTCTGAAATTTACAGCAAACGCAAAATGTTGTATATTCCCTTTAATTCTGTCAAGTCCTGTAAAATAATGTTCAGTAAATTTTTTTTTTCAAACTTCAATCTACAATAACAGTTAAAAATTGCCAAATATTAGTTTGGCGAACATCTCATGTTTTCGTTTAGGAATGTACAGATTTCCATCGAGCTGGATATTCAAAACTTTTCCCAAAATGTAAGTGTAGCTCCTTCACCACTTTCCCCAAAAAAATTCTTTTAAACTCTAAAACACCAAAAACAAAATGTCAAACTACACATAAATTAGAATATAGTTCAATATTTTATGATTAAAAATTACTAAATCATTCAAGTTACTCTCTCAAGATTTCAGTTTTATAAGTATTCAAACTGAAAATACATATGAAGCTAATTTTTTTCCAAACTCAATATCTCATTCCAATACAATCATGCAAAACAAATGTAAAGGACTACATGCTTCAGGTTTGTTCACTGCATGCCAGCAATACCCAGAGTTTCATTTCTCATTGATTAAAGGTAGCGTCCATCATTTGCAGTTTGAGCATTATGTTTGTTTGAAGCAAAAAAAGTGTTCACAATCTAAAGAAGGGTGCTGAACAACTAACCTGATGAACTTTCAGCTCAGTGAGTGCTGTATATTCCAAGAGAACAATATTCTAGGATCTCGATTTCAAGCCAAAAGTTGGCTGAATCATGTTTTGAATTGGGCCTGAATTCAGTGTCCGAGACACGTTCTCACTAAGCCGAGTGCAGCTACGCGATGTCGCGCACTGAACCGACGAATTATTGCAACCGCACACGTGTGCCTCGTGTCAACGCTTGTGCAGGCTTAGCCGAATAAAAATACGAACTACTAACGGAAATTTAGACGCATTGTTGGAAAGGCCTTCTTTCGTTGATTTCTTCAAAATGACAGCTTGCCAGAAAGAATATTCTACAGGGAGTTTACTCCCATTACTATCTTTAAACCAAGTATGCTTTCAACAATAATTATGTCAGTTACTTTTTGGATAGCTGCAAATGATGGACTGTACCATTAAATCATTTTTAAGTTCATCACATATATATTTTTTAGTCTTGAACAAAAAGCCCTTGTTCCCTTAATAAATCCCTCGAAATCTTGTTTGAAGAATTCAAGCATTTGGTTAAAATGTAAGAATTCAAACACTGTATAATTCATTGCAAGAATTCAAGCATTCGGTTAAAAAAAATGTCCCACCACCACTGCAGACACACATTTAAGAAAATGGGGCTGTGACTCTGTCACCAGGATGGTGTAAATTTTGCGTGGCCCAAAAAAAAAAGTTGTTACAAAAGAGCAAAGCTAAGGAGAATAGGAGTCTCCAAAGAAACTAAATGTTTCAAAAGAGAAAAATCAAATATGGATTTAAGGTTATTCACAATTTTTGTTATAACAGAACTGACAGGGTATGCTTTCAATATAGTAAGGCACATTTCAAGATATAAAAAGCTGGTAAGTTACCATATGCATAATTTTGGAGAAGTTAAAATCGCATTGCCACGAACCGTTTCTAATTTCTAAATACAACACGGCTAAAACAATTTGGATCTACCATTAAAACTAGCATATCCAGATGCAGTTACTAGCATTGCTTGCCACGTCCAGGAACTGAATCAGTTTGCACAGTTTTTGTCTGCACAGTTAGGCTAGTTGTAGACGCCGTGCTACTGCCGTGCTGAACTCAATTAATTTGACTTTTTTAAAATTCGGCACGGCAATAGCACGGCGTTTAGAACCATTCGGCGAATTGAGTTTCGACCCTGCACCATCCTTTGGCCCGACAGGGCTGCAGCACTATCGTTGTTCCGAATGGTAGTGGCATGACACTGTTCTAAAATTCAATTCGAAGTTGGGGCAAACATTTTAGGAATGCCTAATTGGCGTGAAATTGGCGCCAATATTTTGATAGCGCTGAAAGTTTGTTGAACTGCTTGAACTGTTTTAACCTTGCCCATTACTCCAGATGTATTAAGGTTCAACTATTACGTTCGGCGTTTAGAGTAACCGCAGTGCTGTACACGAGCTATTGCCGCACTCATTTCAATCATGGAGCTATGTTTCAATTAAGTTCAGCACGGCAGTAGCACAGCATCTAGAATTAGCCTCAGCCAAATTTTTTGCTCAATGTTTTTTGTAGAAAAACTTTCCACAATAAACCTCTGTACTGATGATGTCACACTTTGTTGACTTGTGCGCTTTTCAATGGGGCTACGAAACTGTTGTTCCCACCAGGCTCCCATTAGAAAGGACGCGTGTAAACAAAGTGTGACGTCATCAGTACAGAGGCTTATTGAACCCATTGACCAGACACACAAACTAGTGACAGCTTAGGAGAGATTGCCAACAACAGTTAAAAACTTAAGATCACAGTCAGTCACACTTTTAAATGAACGAGGCCGATGAACTTACGCCATTATCTGGGTGTCAGGAGCAGAGCAACAACATTTACCGACACAGCTTAAAAATCTAAAAATTCAACATTGTAAAAATATAATTTTTCGGTAACAGCAACATTGACTTGCGTCAGTAACCTGATATTCACGTTTGAGCCCCACTGAATAGCATGGCTGCACCCCTCTCATTAGTTCGAAAAACATGGCCTATAAACTGTAATCAAGTTAACATTACATAAGGCAAAAAAAAAAAAAGTCTCCGGTTTCTGGTATGGAGCTTGCCCAAAAAGTGGTGCGGCGACGCTTTTTTTTTTTTTTTTTTTTACCTGATTTTTTTTGCCTCGAATGTCGGCTGATGACTGCAAATGGTGGCCGACTAAACTTAGTGCAAATATATGGGAGTCCAGAGAGGCCACATAAAGCTTATTCTTGATCATAACCCCATCCAAAAACACGTTAAAATTGTGCAGCAGCAGGATTCCAGTCAAACCAGTGAGTTTAGCGGTTTTGAGACATCATCTTTCATCGAAAAAAAAACTTTTTCATTTGGCCGACGCGCATGGCTACGGTGACACGCGCGCATACCAGAAACCAGAGAATTTTTTTTTTTGGCCTAACGGTTAACTGAGCAAGAAGTACTGGTACACACGTTAGAGCTGTGCTGAGCAAACCGAATATTCTAATGTTGAATCATCAACCGAATATCCAAATAGCAGTTTTTCGATTCCAAAATTCGAAAAAATGCAAGCAGCATCAAGAAGATGATGAAAAACCGATGTCATTTTCATCATCAAAGTTGCGTGTTTTTATTGGTTGTCAAATGCCACGCTTTTTGTCCAAAACTGCTTTTGCAGAAGATTTGAGCGCTTCCGTGAGGAGATAATCTCAAATTTCTTCATTAAAATCATTCAAATATCAGCCATTCCGCTACCTGTTCTTTATATCATGCTAATAAGCTCTATGTCAATTTTCGACAAGTGCTATTGGTTGAGAGCCCGTCATGTGGCCAGTTTGACACAGTTGATAAAGACCGGCTGGCAGGTCTTAAACACTTTTCCAGTGTCACATGAAATTTGGACTCCTATGAAATCCGGTGCCTTTTACCGTTTTATTGGTTGAACGTTCACAATCCTCATGTAGGCATGCGCAATACTACTGAGTCGGTATTTCATAGTCCTAAATTCACACTACACCGGCACAGCTGCATTCTGCGCCACATTGCGCAGTACACGCGACGCACATGCCAATCTCCATATTAGGAGTTGTTTATGACTGCTCACGAGAGACATACCATAGGGGTGTTTAGAAAAAAAACGAAGTAAACTTGTTGGACAAAATTGTTAGAAATTTATAATTTTTGACTTGTTTGGACTTTTAGACCGAAAAGTATATATTTTTTGACCGAAAAGGTATTTATGAATGGGAATAAATATTCAAAAATACACAGCCCTATTACATAAGTTAAGGTTACCCCTCCAATGAATACATGCCATTTTATCACCAAGCTTGTATTATTCAAAGGAGGAAAGGGAGGGGGGGGGGCCTTGCGATCATCTGGGATTCCAGTCCGGTACGTGAAAGTATATCGGTGGTTGTTCCAGCGCCCATCGGGCAAAGATACTCTTCTCCGTTATGAAGCGGTGGACGCCTTTTTTCCCCTTCTCGTTAGCTCTGTAGTAGTCGCACTCTTTTCTGCCCTTCCGGTCGTAGTAGTGGTAAGGAACATTTTTGTTGGTCAGGTTTCTGTCGGGAAAAAAATTGAATTGCATCAGATTGACATGCAGTGGACGTAAGTATATTTTTTTTAACAAGAAATCTTGTACTTTATCCATACGATAAAAACCACATACTGGTATAAATACATATGTTTGTCTATGGATCATTCTATAAATTTGGGGTCCATTTTTCCCCATCCCTGTTATACCTGACATCTATGATTCTGATTCTCCTACTGTCCGAACAGTCACAGACAGTCAAACAAAATCAATCCTGACATGCCTTTTACACAGGCTAGTGACCAACAGTCAGATCACATTCCAAGCAAGCACTGTGATTAGTCAAATTCAGTCAACAGACACAAGCAGGCACGTGGTAGGCACAGCTGGCTTATCAATCAACTACAGTCAAACATAGCTGTATCGAGGTACATAAACTCTCACAGCCAGTCAATCCTGCTTCATATGAAGGCTGGGAGCTCTTAACTGTTAAAAACAGTCACTTGATTGATTTTTACTGAAAGGACAACTTGGCACAGAATGTATGTTTGCATAGGAGGGTTACTGAATAGCAAGCTACATGTACCTACCTCAAAAATATATAATCATTTGAAGCCGCACTTAATGGTACTTGAATGGCAAATTACAAAGTACCACTGTAACAGGGACACGGAAAATGTGAGCTTTGCACCATAAATTTAAAGAATGACTGGATTTTGATGGAGTTGGGGTGGTTAGGGTTAATTACCATAGAAATACTCACTGGCAATACTCGTCGTTAACCATGCCATACACGTGGATCTCGTCACACGACGCGCGGGCCAGGACCATGGTGAACCATCCCGTGCTCAAATATGTTCCAGAGCCCATTCTATCAACAGATAAAGAAATTTGAACACTACAGCCAACACAGTCACACATCACAACTCTTCTTTACCAAAATAAAACAAATAGACATTATTCACGGAGTATCCTGAATTTATTTTGTACAATGTAACCTGTTGAATGGGATGGTGCCAGACTATGTTACGATTGGAGTGCATTTCAAGCCTTACTTTCAATTATTTTTCAATCTGGCTAAAAAGATAAGATTATGTTTAATCACAAGTTTAAACTTATTCATCAGAGCAGACTGGTAATAATTTTGCTTTTATTTCATTGCTTTCCTTTCTACTCGCAATTTCCAAACATGAAGAGTTTACCTCGCTTTCAATTTAATATGGCTGACTCGTGAATAAAGTCTATGGGCTCCGTGCGCCAATGAAAGAGGGCGCCCTTTTACCTAGCAAGGACATCCCATGGGCGAGACATTTAGCTGGTTGACGCGCACCATTCATTGGTGTCTTTTGGATTCACCCAAACTATAGACCTTTATCATGCTGCCGACATTTCAGTCATGTTCCCTGTATCCCATTACAGTACTAAATGATGGGTTTTCTGCGCAAAAAGGAACCAGACTATTTTCCCTTCCAGCCTCGCTTTGGTTACGTTGATTTGAATGTGACAATATCAAGACGGCCGCAACATGATAATGGTCTATTGTCAAACAGCACGATGCATGTAGTTCCATAATATGCTTGAAGTTAGTAATTCTGTTTTTGAAGTTATCAATGAATATTCAAAGCTACATGCAGATCATACATATTCATGAGGTGTATTTACTACCACCGCTCACCTTGGCTTCCCCGTTTCCGCTTCAAATATCTCATCTGCTTTTGCCATCTGCTCCTGCGTCAGATAAAAAAACCCAACTTTTGGGAACTTCTGCGTTAAATCCTTCAAGTGTTTGTACGCGTACCCCTTCCCGTTGGTCTGCATGGCCTTAGACGGTCCCCAGCCTACGACGTACCGGGAGGAGCTATCCTGCAGTAAGAACTTGCGTTTGTTTTTGAGGTTTGGAGTGGCGGCGTGGCCGACCACGCGCACGGTGGTACGCGAGCCAACGTCCTCTTCGTAGCTGGGTACCGGCGCGTCGTTCATGCGGAAGATGCAGTCGGCTTCGTCGATCAGGTAGCCCACACGAGACCCGAGGAGCTGACCAGAGCTGGACACCAAGGCACACTGCATGCAGTGCAGGTTCAATTTCTGTAGTGCAAAATGGAAAAATCAATCAACTTTGTTGGGAGAAACAGATCCAAATTTCATTTCATTTCATTTCATTTAATAATTTCGCAGGTCAAATTTACAAACAAAAAAAACAAAAATAATAATATTACAGACAGTATAGACATAAAAAAAGACATAGTTTAAAAATTACACATAAAACCTTATAAAAAGACTTAAACCCTTACACCAAGATTTTGCACGCCCCTGCGAGATTGCTTAAAAGTGAACTAAATCACTGTCAAGTAGCTCTCCCATAGCATGACTAAAAACACTATTTTGCAAAAACACAAACATTATAGCAGACTTACACTATAACACATAATCCCATGGGCGAAAAGAAAAACCCTTTAAAATAGCACAAATTCCTGAAATTAATGTAATGATTTTATATATTGCACCATATTAACAAGAAAAAGTAAGGAAAACACCCCAAGATAACTTAAGTTCTAAAAGAAAAAAGAAAAAAAAGAGACCATGCAAGACAGACAAAAAATCAAACGACCGACAAACAAACCCCCACCTGACAAACGTAAGACGTGGAACTGGACAACAAAAAAAAAAAAAAAAAAAAAAAACAACCAAAACAAAACAACAACAAACAAAAAAACAAACAAACAGACTCCAAAGACAATCCAACAAGAAACAAATGACCCCAGACAAAAAAACACACCTCCGAAAGGAAACAGGCAAGAAGCGAAAACAAAACAAAACAGACAAATTCACTTATCAAATGATTTCATTATTGTTGTGATCAAACAGGTGTAACAGATGGGGACTGCATTGAAAAGGCAATGTTTTTCAAGTGTTTCTTTATTTTTTGTAAATCTTTAAACATGTACATAAACTGTGTATGAAGATGTTGTAAATTTTAGGAGATGTTTGCTTTATCAGGGTTTTTGGTTCTGTAAATCCATGCACATAGATTCAAAGCACCAAGCTGTAGATGTATGACGAGGATGGACATTTTACATGTTTTAGGAGTTGTTTGTTTTTTCAGGATTTTTTTTTGGGAAATCTACTACATGCAAAGCTTCAAAGCAAGAAGCTGTGCATAAAGATGATGGAAATTTTAGGAGCTGTTTGTTTTATCAGGTATTTTTGTTTTGTAAAACTATATACATAGGTTCAAAGCACGAAGCTGTAGATGTGTGACAAGGATGAACATTTTAGGAGTTGTTCGTTTTTTTTAGGATTTTTTGTTTTGTAAATCTACATGTACTACATGCATAGATTCAAAGCATGAAGCTGTATATGGGGAGGAAGGACATATTTTTTTTGGGGGGGGGGTGTGAGGGAAGGAGGGAAAAAAGAAAAAGTTGAGTAAGAGAAGAGGTTACTAGTTTTCCAGCAGCCTAGAATTTTTTCTTAGACAATCTCCCGTACCTTTTTGGGATCCAGCACAGATATGTAGCCATGGTGAGTGTACAACGGATCTGGCGTGGCGTTCACTGGCAAAACACCGTCGATCATTGAGACTCTCTGTCTTGACAACGTTCTGACGTCACTGGCATTGCTCAAGTCGTGTAAATTCAGTGTCTGATTGTGGCTGCCGGTGTCCAGTACCGTTGCATTTTTCTCCTGTTTTTTGGTTGGCAGAGGTCTCGTGGTGTTGGTTTTTATGGAACCTGAATTGCGGGCTGCGGTAACTGTCCTTGTATGTGACCCATTGGTTGTTTTGGATCCTGCCACTGCATGGGACATCTCTGTTAGTCTGTGCTCCTGACCGGTCACCGACAGTATGTGCTCAGTGAGTTGTTTCCTGGAGAGTGTCTGGTACCCAGTGTCCATCCCGATGGTGTTGACATAAATGGCACAGATGGTCAGGGCGGCGAATGCGAACCCGATGCACACAAGGAAGAGTTGCCTCTGTAGCAATGAAGGGATAAATAGTTACATGAAATGTTAAATGCGGTTAGATGTGCAGCACTAGACCGACATATAACAAGAAAACAATTGCCCCCCCCAAAAAAAAACAGAGCTTGCAAGCACACATTTTTGAAGCATTCTGGCAAAATTACACGGAACTGGGCATAGGTCATAGTGGATAAAACTGCAAAAAAACAATGGTGGTGACTTTTTTTTTATTTCCAGATTTATTGATATTTACAGTCTTTGATATGTCTACTACACATATTTTACACATACTATAAAAAATGTGGAATAAAGGTGTTTTTAAGGAAGAACATTCGGCATCTTTCATACTCACGACTACAAAACAGTCAAAACGTGATGGCCTTTTTCTCGATATTTTACTTTTTTGACATGTTGATAATTGTAAACTTTAAATATCCATAAGTCTATTTTTGTCAACGGAATGTCCGATTAAATTGCAACAAACAGCACTGCAAAGAGAATTTTATTATCTTTCCTAATATCCACAAACTCTCATTTTGATCTTTGCCTCGTTGTGTCTCATTTTGCCAGTACACCTCGCCTTTTTGGGTCAAACATAATTATATTGAAAAACTAGATATATTGAAGAACTCGGGTCATTATTATCTTATCTTCTCACAACCTACAGGGTAGGGCACATTTCATCCTACCAATGTATCAAACTGGGTGCATGACATCAGCAAAAAATGCTCATTAGGGCTCAGTGCGATAACAAAAATATGCAGGGTTAAATTTGAGTTGACCTTGACGTGTATGAACTTGACCCAAGCAGACCTTCCATTTCTACATGTACTCGACCATGAAATCTACACATACCGGTAGACAATGCAAGTCAACTGTTTTACCTTTCCCTTTTCCCCCTTGTATCTTTGTAAAAACCAAGTGGGCAAATTTTCTTTAAATAAAATGTGACTGGCTCCACAAAAAAGGGTATTATGTTGCAAAAAAATGAAATTGAGTTATATACAAGGTTTGAAAGCCCACAACATAAGCTTTCATTTTAATAGAGCTCCATAGCCCCTCCCGTTCTGGAGATACATGTATGACGATTTGCATATTAATTACTTCTTTGGAGCTCAAATTGTACAACTGAGAAAACAGGCTTTGAAATAGCTGGCTTTTGTTGTAGAACAACAGAACGATGCACACAAAATCGTTGTTTTTGGCATTTTTGTTCATCAAAACCAACATTTCTGTGAATGTAACCTGAAACTATGGTATTAAAGATGTCATTCATGACAAAAAACAAAAATTACATTTTGACGAAATTTGCACCCTCTCAACATTGAGCGGGCCATTACACAATTACTGTGGAGCCGGTCACAAGTAATTTGGGGGGGGGGGGGGGGCAAATTAACATTTTGTGGTAAATGTAAGTGGTTAAATATTTTTTTCCCCAAAACAGTTTGATATCATATAACCTTTTTTAAAATCTCATTTTAATCAAAGACCTGTGCCTTCATTTTGAACAAGCTGTAGTGACAAGCCTTTCAGAAGCAAAAAAAATCAAATAATTTTTATTGCAATTTTTGTCTGGGATGTACATACATGTATGGGCTTTGCAAAAAAATGAATGTTCCATTTTGGCAAAGAAATTATGGGTACACAAATTATAAACGTGTGGCCCTGCAATTAACAAAGATTAAAATCCTCTTCTTTTTTTTAATTCTGCTTAAAATTAACAAATGTACAGCTCGGAAACTATTACACCGATTGGCACTGTCCGTTAGACCAAAAAAAATTAAAAATCTGTCTCTGGTCAGACCGAAGTTCCGGAATTGATGCAGCGACGCGTTTTTTTGGGTGTTTTTTTTTTTTCAAGCTTGAACTGTACAGACAAGGTGGGTACTATTTTGCTTTTTTGTGTCCTCATTATACATTGGTGTCCTCCATAATTTGCCTTGGTGCCCTTTATCATTTGCCTTGGTGCAATTTCCCCATTCCTTGGTGCTCTTCGCTGTTGTACCTTCCGTGTTCATTTGAGGAAAAAGAAAAGGTTGACGCGCATGATTAAAATCGACGCGCGCTGACCAGAGACCAAGGTATTTTTTTTTTTGGCCTTACCAAAGGTGTTTTGACCTAACAAACATTTACTGGACGTATAGGGCAGTTGCCATGCCAACAAGTCAACAAGGCAGTTAGTAATTATGAGTCTATTGATCGGTTTCACTTGTACAAGGAAACCTGACGTCATCAGGAACAGGGGAGTGTGGTCTTATTATTCTAGCACATGTAGTTCTCTTCAATAATTCAGGTGGAACAAAATTGCTTCTTTTTCTGGTAATCATGCACACGTGTACATGCAGAAAAAAATACAAACGCAATTGGTCCATTACAAAATTTACCAATGCTCAATGTATTCAGCATTCACCAACAAAACAAAATACATATATGGGTCTACCCGATGTTCCCCAATTCCGATGTTCCCCAAAATCCTTAGGATTAGGGTTAGGGTTAGGGAACATCGGTATTGGGGAACATAGGTATTGGGGAACATACATGTAGGTCATGTAGGTATGCACCCCATGAAAACATGGTGCAATTCATCATATCTGCTGCATGTTCATTTATTTACAGGATTTTCTGCGGTGGAACCTGTTATATGATGCAGCCATGGGCGTCGCCAGGATTTTTTTCTAGAGGGGGGCAAAACATAATTTTCCCAAAAAATTCTTGTATTTCTTGACATATTCTCGATTAATCAGTTTTAGAGGGGGGCAGGGACATTTTGCCCCCCCCCCCCATTAAATTTACACCACTATGACTTTGCGCCTCTTTTTCTTTTCTTTTTTCTCTTTTTTTTCCTTCTTTTTTTTTTTTTTTTTTTTGCTCCCCCCCTCGCGACGCCCATGTATGCAGCAACCAATCAAGAAAACATAGCTGACAAGTACGCATGAAGCAGGAATTTTAATGGGCTCAGGGAAAACTATTTGCAGTGGGTTCAAGAGAGACTGTAAACTGGGGAGTAACAAGTGCCAGGCACATGTATGAGCATATGAGGAATATAAAAAAAACCTACACAATTACAGCATACTAGGTACATTTTCAAGGGGGAACTGGCAAATTATTGGAATTGATTCAAATATAATTTGATATCTTAAACTTACAATACGCTGCAACAAATTCATGGCAAAATATGTTAGGAAGTCCTTTTTTGAGAGAGAGAGAAACAATTAAAAAAGGTATACATGTATTTAATACGCTTTTTGGGAAGTCCAGGTCATCAAAGTTGATGGCTTCTGACAAGTGCTGCAGAAACAACTACACTGAAAAATTGGGAGACTAACAAAATTACTGGCTAGATAGCTCAGTTGGGAAAGCAGGTTCAAACCCAGTTCAGTCAGCTTCTTTGTATTACAAAATGTATATCCTAACGTCCAGAAGAAAACAAAACTGCGATAGTTTGTTACTGGTGCATCTAGAGATCAAACTTTTTCTAAATTTTTCTAAATTTTAGTCATGAAAGTTCCATACGTATACTGGAATATATCTAGCTTTAACTTTAATTGAAACGGCAATTGGGCATGAAATTGCAAAGGTGCACGGAATTGAGCTGGTACTTCGAGTGGGTTAGAAGTCCCAGAATTTACGACTTTCCACTGAAACTGCATTTGGGTGTAAAATTGCAGAGGTGAATGGAGCTGCATTTATGAGCACAATGATATACTCTCTTTGTTTCAATGCGTGCACTTGTTCTGTGCATGGTGACTACATTTCAATTTAGCAGTTTAGAGGGGTGATAAAAAAAACCAATACATTTTATAGTGTGCATCAACTGATCCAATGGTGATGGAAAAAAACAAAAATTAAAAGGAACTTCCCTAATGCATTTGTAATGTGTCCTCCAACATTTTCCTGGTAGGTTGACAAAAAAGGAATTAGGCCTCATTAAAACTTTTTTGTAAGCCAGGTAGGCTGGGATTTAGGCCGAATAAAAAAAAAACATGTTTCTCGTCCGGGTTTTTGAAAAAAAGGAGGAAGAGGGGCTTTTTATTTTTTGTTTTTTATTTTTTTCAAGATGGCCGCCATTTTAAAATTTCCTGCAACCGTTGGTGTTTCCACTGTTCAAAGGCACTTTTAAAATGAAAGATAAGTTGGACAAGAGAACTGAACATATTTACAGTGTCATTTAGAGTTGTATTGGTCTACAATGAACAGTTTTAGATGTATTTGCTTTAACCGCCGAATTTGTGGACTTTTTCCGGTGTTTTTTTACTGCATTTAAAAAAAATAAAATAAATAAAAATAAAAAAATCTAGGCGGCCTCCAAAAAGTAAGCGGGCGGGGACGAGAAACATTTTTTATTTTTTTACTTCGCCTTATATGAATATTTTGTACACGTTTACAATTTGTGCATGTTATTCTGGGTTTCTTTCCTGGTACAAATGTACATTGGATGGCATGAGTACCCTTGAGTAAAGTTGTGTTGGTGCATGCAAGCTGGTGTACATGTATGAATTGCTGTTTCAAGTCTGTCACATGCAATACCAATGATTCCCAACAGGGAACAAAACGTTGCCATGGAGAGACAGGAGAGACCATGTTTCAACCGCAATTCGAACAAATGTTCGTAGACAACATGAGGAAATTTTTTGATAGATCGGGGTATAGCATTCTGCCGCCTCACAAAAAAATACCATCTTGATACCAAAGAAAAGACAAAAGAAACATACTCGAATAATACGCTTAAGAAACTACTCAGACCGGGCAAAGTAACAATTTTAAGTGTCCCGCGCCCATGGCGAATTTGTCGACCGTCTCCCACAATGCACTGCGGAAAATGGACTCTTCGTGGCAACCTGTTAGTGGCGCACTGTATTGGGAATCGCCTGTATTGTCATAACTTCCATCATATTGTGCATGCTACATGCTTTATGAGTACCGGTATATTGTCCTGATTACATTATGCATGCTTTGTGCACATAACAGAGTACCATATTTGCTAATTACTAATACTACATAAAAAGTTATGCAGAATCTCAATAACATGCACAAGGTCATTATGCACTTGCTCGCATGTCACGCCTCACATTCACATCACAATTTTACAGTTATTAAATAAATACTATCTTGATACCCCCAAAAAAGAAAAGAAAGATACTCGAATAATAGTATACACTTAAGAAATTACTGAACGGGCAAAGTAACAACTTTAAGTGTCCCGCGCCATGGGGAATTTTTCGACCGTCTCCCACGATGCACTGCGCAAAATGGACTCTTCGTGGCAACCTGTTAGTGGCGCACTGTATTGGGAATCGCCCGTATTGTCATAATTTCCAGCATATTGTGCAAGCTACATGTACATGCTTTATGGGTATATTGTCTTGATTACATTATGCGTGCTTTGTCCATAAAACAGAGTACCATATTTGCTAATTACTAATACTACATACATTTATGCAGAATCTCAATAACATGCACAAGGTAATTATGCACTTGCTCGCTTAATATGCCTCACATGTCTCACCACATTTTTACAGTTATTTAATTTGACTTAAACAAAAAAAGCTTGAGCGTTTGGACTGTGTACTGTTTGTGACAGTGTTCATGAATTCTGTTAATAAGGTAATGCTAATAAACAAGAATTCTTAACTTGGATTCCTGACATTAAAAGACATGTTGATGTATTTAAGTGAATAGAACAACTGCATTCTGACGTCTTGTCACTCCTTACATCACATTTTATGTATTACACTAGAACAAAGACAAAAACCAAGAGTTTGGGGGCTTTGAACTGTTTGTGAAACTGTTCTTTCTTTCCATTATGTAATGCCAATGAACAAGAATTCTTATCTGGTATTCAACAACTGCATTAGACTTCAATAGAGACTGCTAAGATCATAATAAAACAAAAAAAGTCAAGTTGGAAAAAAACAACATGTTTGTATTGGTATTTGCAAGCTAAAATTCAGAGTATTTATCGTGTTTCAAAGAAGGAAATATACACGGGTGCCTAAATCAACAGGAAACACATTGATGTGAAACAAGAGATAAAAAGCTGTCGTCCTTGGAGACCAGGAACGAGCTATCAATTTTATTATTAATTATTTGTATATCATCCTGACCCAACATCAGACATAGTCTGAGCGGATTCGCTGATTAATTTGGCAAGACCCTGCCTCTTGACCTCCTAGATTTTGACCAATCAACGGGCGCTTCCTATATATCGGGTCTTTGGTCATTCACCCGTTTGCGCGTCATAGACAATTAAAAAAAAACCTGTGTCACGTGCTCTATATCATGTTACACAATAATGTACAAAACACTGCATTTGAATTGACCAATCAAACCATTTAGTCCTGATTTGGAAATGAAATGACGTCACGATTTAGTAAAGTCAACTCCGATTGGCTGGCGCGCGGCTTGCATATATATCTGCATGTCTGGACATATCAGACGTTATACAGGAGACTCTTGGCTCCGTGGATAACGGGTGATACTCAGACTAGCATCAGACTGCTTGACAGCCTGAAATGACTGTGTGATGACTGTCTGAAAAGACTGCAATTTTACAATCATTATGCACGCAGTAATCCATTGTAATGTTTCACTTCATTTTTAATACACACGTAGGCCTACATGTACGACATGTGCATTCTAACCTGGACTCGTATTTTGATACCATCTAAAAAAATCCCACAAGCTGAACAAATTAATAGTGTTGAGGGGAATAATATTTGACGAGTGCATATTTTGTACATGAACATGTGTGCGTGCACATAAAATATTAATATCAAAATTCAAATGTTAACAATAGTGTCATTGAAATAATATCTTGATATTGATTAGTTTGAGTAACTCCAGCTGACATGCTCATAATCATTCACATGTGAATGATTATGAGCATGTCAGCTGGACTTACTCTAGACCCGTGAACGTTGCATACAACGCCACGTTCACGGGTCTAGAGTTACTCAAGCTAGATCATCAAACATCTCACCAATCACCAAAGTCAACACAATGCCATACCTAATGGTCAACATTCTAAAGACACTCAATTCCACCCGATCAACTGGAAAACAGCACCTTTTTGGACAGAAATTTGAACATCTTCAAGTCAAAGATAGACCGGGAACCAAATGATCTTTTCCTTGTGGCTAGTTCATCACCAATGACGCCCGCCGGATGCTGAACAGCAGATGTATCTCTCGGCTCGATGAATTGCTAGTCAACTTTACAAAGTCGCTCCCTGCACCTAGGACATCCGCTACCTATGATAGAATCACTTCAACTGATCATGCTTAAATTCTCCACACATGATGAATCAAACATAACACTTACAGAACTAAACACTTTAGTGCTGCATAGATACTAAAACAATCAGATTCAGAACCATCTAAAAAAAAAACACAAGCTGAACAAATAGTGTTGAGGGGAATAATATTTGACGAGTGCATATTTCGTAACAGTACATGAACATGTGTGCCTGCACTTGTTTGGCTTGCTATATGTATGTACATGAGCTTGTGTATATTTTGGGGGAAGAGGCGGGGAGGGGGCGGGGGGAGGATGTGGGGGGGGATGGACACCATCTGACTTTATGAGGCACTGTTCAAAGCCGATGATCTTGGACACAACCGGACACTAGGTGATGGACATGTTTTGATACCATCTTAAAAAAAAAGAAGCTCAACAAAGAGTTGACGACATTTGATTTGTGTCAGCTGTGAGGGGGAAAAAAATTGATGAGTGCATATTTTGTAACAGTACATGAACATGTGTGCGTCATGTACTTGACTATTGGAGACACTGTTCAAAGCAGATGATCTTGGACACAACCTGACACTAAGTGATCGACAGACTCAAAATTTTGCAAACACGATGACAATTTTGCAGACAGACTTGCTGACACAGTGACAGAAAACGACAATTGGGGATGTGACGCCTCCCACATCCTTCTGGTGGTGCCTCTGAGAAAAGCCCTTGTTCCTTCAACCAGTCAACATGGTCAATGATTTACTCTGTTACTTGGTTGGTGGTCCTCCAAAATATTCCATCTAGGGAATTTAAACATTTGGAACCAGACTATCAACTGAATTGTTCTCGGACTTTATTTCCCAAAATTTACAAAACAGATAAGTTTTACAGATTTTCCTACATTATTACGCTTTATTTCAACAAAACAAAAAAGCATTTATGAATGGGAATAAAGGAGTCATGACTCGGTCTTAACGGCCGTTTAAAACCTTGCAGGGTCTTGGCCGTGATGACTCGCAGGTCACAGGTCATGCAAAATCTATCAAATCAGAGCGTAAATTCATCAGCCTGTCCCGAGCGAAAATAACATCCAATAAAACATTATTAAAAATATTAATGTCATTAACAATGATGATCATCAAATACTTCTAGAATAGAAGGTGCACACGGGGTGCGTTCTAATTTTCTATTATAAGTTCTAATTCTAGAAGTAATCGTCAAAGTACCAATAAAACATATTATAATTAATAGGCTACTCTTTCATAAAATATTAATATCAAAATTCAAATGTTAACAACAGTGTCATTGAAATAATATCTTGATATTGATAAGTTTGAGTAACTCTAGCTGACATGCTCATAATCATTCACATGAGCTAGCTGGAGTTACCCAGCCCTGAATTTTATCATTGGGTTGTCATTTAGGACAACCCAATGATAAAATTCAGGGCTGGGTAACTCCAGCTACACATGAGCATGTCAGCTGGAGTTACTCAAGCTAGATCATCAAACATCTCACCAATCACCAAAGTCAACACAATGCCATACTTACTATGGTCAACATTCTAAAGACACTCAATTCCACCCGATCAACTGGAAAACAGCACCTTTTTGGACAGAAGTTTGAACATCTTCAAGTCAAAGATAGACCGTGAACCGAGCGATCTTTTCCTTGTGGCAAGTTCATCACCAATGACGCCCGCCGGATGCTGAACAGCAGTTGTATCTTTCGGCTCGATCACTGATCTCTATATAAAGACTGGATAGCGGATATGCATACAACATTCACACAGTAGACTTTGCATATTGACCAATTCGCCCCCGGTCTCACGAAGATGGCCGCGTATATACGAACGTTCTACGCGTAAATACGCGCGCTTTGTATCAACAGTTGACGCGCATTTTGGTCACGTACACATATTATGATGTTCTAAAAAGGACACATTTCCGTAGTGATTATTATTTCAAAAACGCTGAAAAAGTGATTTGCGGCATTATAAAAGTAACCACGACGTTAGAAAAATTGTAGTAAACCTTGGTCAGTTGGTCAGTGGTGGTGGCCAAAATATAAGTCAAGTGAACCGCGACGTTACAAAAGAAATCATGCTGTCTATAAAGACGGTAACTTGTCCTTTGTAGATCACCAGCCGGTCTCACCAATATGGCGTCAAATTCGTACATTGTGCGGCTCTTTATTAGCTATCCAGTCTTTATATAGAGATAAGTGGGCTCGATGAATTGCTAGTCAACTTTACCAAGTCGCTCCCTGCACCTAGGACATCCGCTACCTATAATAGAATCACTTCTATGCTTCAACTGATCATGCTTAAATTCTCCACACAATGTCATGATGAATTAAACATAACACTTACAGAACTAAACACTTTGGTGCTGCATAGATACTAAAACAATCAGATTCAGAATTTCAGATAGGCAAACCCTACATAAACACTGCGGCAGACTGGTGAGAGGGAAAAAATCTAGAGTCAAAAATTGCATTGTGGGAACACGTCATCTAATAAAACATGGCGACCTCCATGGACGCTCACTTTTAACATTTTTACTTGGATAATGTTACGTTTTAATTGATGAGTTCTAGCTGACAGACCGAAACGGTTCGCAGGAATCGAGAGACAATGTATAGTTCGCCACAGAAGGGCGATTTTATTTCCTTTACGGTTGCGGAAGATGAGAAATACGACAACCAAAAAGTGCGGCGGAGGCAGTCGTGTTGGAGGGTGGGTAGCCGACACGGGAGGGGCGTGGCAAGGATGGGAGGGTGGGGAGGGTGGGTGCTGATGTGGAAATCCCAGTTGTAGCTTTAGGGAAACATTGTATCATACTTGCACCGCGTGGGCTGTTTATTTCAAAGTCTATTGGGGAAGTAAAATTTTCTTATTTCTATCAGAATTTGAACGTTTTCTGAAATAATTTCCAAATTGTCATTTTCATTTCAACATGAATGCTTATATTTATAAAATACAATCTAGGACTAGGTTGCGGGAAGGCAGAAGGGGTGGGGAAAACATTTGAAAAGTGCATAACGGTATTTTTTTGTTTGCAATAACTGTTTGGAATTGTAAAAAATAAAATCCACTCAACAGACCTTGGTTTTTTCCTGTGTTTGGCGATCGTGTAGTGTAGGGCAGGGCCCCTGGTTTCAAATTAGAGTCAAAATGTTTTTTATTGCTAAATAATCACCTTAACAATCACAAGCAGACTTTTCTCAATTCTTATGATACCCATTTTGCAATTTTGAACAGTTTCTTGGGGTAGAAATCACGATTTTCCTGCGGGGTTTGTACCTTGCGATTCAGCGCACTGTGCGTGCTCATGGTACATCGCGGGGTGTTTCGCCATCTTTATTTCTGGGTTGCGTGTTGTCGACGCTCTGTCATCGTCATTTTACCCGCGAATTTCCCTAAAAAAAACCCAAAACTGTGCCCTCTATCTATGCCATACCTGTTTATTGAGAATGTCACCAACTAGTTTGGTCGGGCTAATAATTTTAAAGTTTTGTTCCCTTATAGGAACTGGGCCCTACACTATACGATCGCCCTGTGTTTTTATTGAACTAGATAAAAATTAGTAGTAATTGCAATAAGAAAACTTTTAGCCTGCGCCTATTGGCTATTGTTAATATTATAATGTTGTTAATATTATTATTCTTATTATTGTTCATAGACCTGGAAGCAGCTGTCGCGTCTCCAGCGCCATGTTTTCACCATCGTCATGTTTGTGGCCGCCATATGTGTGCTGTACTTGATCATCCTGCCTGGCCGGGGTGCCGCCGACTCCAGCAAGGATTTGGCCAGGAATCACAGAATAGGGGGAGAACTGGGCAATCAGGAGGACTTTGGGAATCTCCCTGTGCTGAACGTTAACCAACAAGGCATAGAACAGGGAAAGGTTGATAACATGGTAATAACCTAACCTCCCTATCCAGCCTTCCTTCGCAGACCCAAGGTCATAGTTTTTGTCAAGCCAGTCATAAGAAACCACAATTTCAACGCAGGCCGTCACAAGTCTAGCACAAATCATCACAAGTCCATCTCAAGTCATCACAAGTCCATCAGAAGTCCATCACAAATCATGACAAGTCCATCAAAAATCATCACCATCTCAAATCATCACAAATTCATCAAAAAACCATCACCATCACAAATCATCACGAGTCCATCACATATCACAAGTCCATCACAATTCACAAATCATTACAAGCCCGTCACAAGTCTATCACAAATCATCACAGTCCATCACAAATCATCACAAGTCCATCACAGATCATCACAAGTCCATCACAGATCATCACAATTCCATCACAAGTCATCACAAGGCCATCTCAAATCATCACAACTCCATCACAGATCATCACAAGTCCATCACAAGTCCGTCCACAAATCATGACAAGTCCATTGAAAATCATCACAAATCATCACAAATCCATCACAAATCCATCACAAATCCATCACAAGTCATCACAAGTCATCACAAGTCATTCAAATCATTGAGGCCTCCATGTTCAAATGAACTGTGCCATCATAGACATTCCTTGGTCTGTGTTGAACCATATTACATGTACATTTGACCTGATTTGTGAATTAATTTTTGTGTTTGACTTGACGATAACTCTGCCCAAGGTCCAAAACAAGTGCCTCTGGCTCCCACAGCTCAGTCAAAATATTAACCCTAACCTTCCCAACTCCTCTAAAATCTTCTTTGCAAAATGGAGGATTTTGCCGGAGTGAGGCTATATGGCAAAAATGTGTGGCTGATTTTGGAGGATGCACTGTGTCAAGGTCTTGGACCAGACCTTGTGTTGTTTATGCTCAGCCGTGCGTAAATTTCGGCCTAGATTATACTTGAAATCCTCCGCACTGCTCCAGGATGTCACAGGCTCTGCCTCAACATATTGACAGTGATCGCTGGAGGATTTTGCAGGTTTGAGGTAGTGGTCACCCCTCCAAGGACCACATTCAAGAAAGAACGGATGATTTTAAGTGGATGAAATTAAATATAACTCATAAAGGTTTAGGCCATTAAGCATAAGGACTATCTGCACAATTAAATACATGTCAAAATTTACATTGTGTTTTTGTAGTTATTTTAAAAATATTTAGACGGACACTTGTGGGGGGGACATGCTGTAAAGTTAGCACGACTTTCGTGCTAACTGTTAAGCAGCATAATTTACTGATTTACTTTCTATTTTTACCTTCAATCTCCCAACAGCACCAGCAAGAAGAACCTAAGCGCCACAAGAAAGGCCCACCCAGGCTGCACAGAGACCCGCCAAACGTAAGTGGAAACGACCGCTACAGTTTTGAAAACCAACTCCCCACCCCGGATTCCGGGGAAGGGGCCGCGGCTGGGGCACTGGAGGTAAGATAAGCAAACAAACAAGCATGAAGAGCATGATGGGATATCGTGTTTGGCCTGACGTGTAATGCTGCTGTCGTGCGTATCTTTCTACTGTGCCTCAGTTGCTCTTCGTTTTCTTCTCTTTTTTCAATTGTGTTTACATTTTTTTGTAATGGTTATGTGGAAGTTGGAGCTATATAACTCTAAATTAGTTTTAAGACAATGCGCTTCAAAAAACTTTGCTTGGATGTGATTCCTCCACCATTGATTTGTATGTAATGACATCAAGTTTCATGTTTTTCTTTTCATGTGTTTTGTTTTCATGTCTTTCGTTTTTATTACTTTTTTTACAACATTTGCAATGATGCCAAGATCACACCAAAGCTGGACGTGTAACAGTACGAGCAGCAAAGGTCGAAATTCAAAACATTTGCACCTGGAAATTGGGCATAAAATCAGCCGAGTGTTCCCTAACGTGACGCACTTGAACAAATCTTGGAAGATCCCAAGTTAGCATTTAGGTTCATTGTGCATTGTGCACACACACAAAAACAGAAAACGGAAGAACTCGCCAAAATATATATTTTTCCTGTTAACTTTGTAACGGTACGTGAAAGGGAATGTTAAGAGCTTGATGAAATTGCACTCATTTGTGAAATGTGAGATTAAAATTTTTGCTCTACAGCAATACACTAGAGGCAAGAAAATCAAAGTGTGCCACGTTAGGGGCTTCAGCACATTAGGGGTCGTGCCATGCTAGGGGACATCAACAATATCAGCAACACATTGTTGGCACTGTACACCAGCACGTTTAAAGGCTTTAAAGGCTACCCCTGGGGATGAGGCTGTCCCTACTACGCTGCCTGGCGCTACTGTCATCTTCGTGCAGAATTGTCGCCAAAACACAAAACATGTTCCTGTATTCTAGTCCCGAAAAACATCCCCCAAAATATCTATTTTAGAACAATTTAGCGTTAGGCGCGTGAGTTACGTAACGATTGTCCGGCGTGTGAGCATGTGAATTGACACGGAGGCGTGTGACACACGCCGGATGCGTGAGACTTGGCAGGTCTGCAGTTTGTAAAATCTTTCTTCATTTCGGTTCTCACTTTCTACATTCCATGTTCCATGTTAACAGCGTACATGTGTAATTGTTTTGAAGAATTTTTGTTTGTTGTTGCCCATTTTGTTCAGATCGTTATCAGGGTGGCCAAAAAAAATGGAATGGCATGCTACCACTACCATGAGACCGAAACCATAAACCAATGCATGGAGAAAGTTTTTAGAAGAAATATGAAACCAAGCTCGCCCGATTCGGTCCAGTAGTTTTTGTTTCTGGAGCCTTTTTGTGAAGTAAGGTGGGGGTCATTTTTGTCCCGATGAATCGCTAAACTGCGCCCGGAAATTTGACTTATATCATAATTGATAGAGGGATTGCTATGTAATAATACCCACATGAAAGAAGTGCGCTTCACAAAAAAAAGCTCAGCAGCAAAACTACTGGAGTGAATTGGGTGATTTTGGAATCATAATTCTTCTAAAGGGATTCTCCGTCAATTGGTACAGGTGGTTTGAATCTTAAGGTATTGGAAGTATGCTGTTCCATTTTATTTGGTGTTTTTTTTACCACCCTGTATAATGGTACATGGAATTGTTGTGGGGCCTGGAGTATGTATGGATCATTAAATGTTTTTGTGCTCCATACAGGTTGAGTCAAAAAAGCAGAACCCAAACCCAAAATATTGTATTTCATATTTAGTAAAATATGTAGCACCAAACATAATAATGACTGGAAAGCCAATTTCATGAGCTACTTTTAGATGAAAAATTACTGAAATCTCTCAATCAGTTCATAGAAAAGCACCATTGAAACACAAAGACCCTGAACCTGTCTCGTCCAAAAAACCAATTTATTGTGTGTTTTGACTGTTTTGAACAACAAAGAAAATGACAAAGAATACTTGTTTCAACAACTGTCAAAACTGTAGTACACAAAAATCCACTTTGTTTAAAAATACGGGCCTTCAACAGGATTTTGTTGAATATCTTCAACTTTTACCCTGAGGTTTTATCGCTGGTGATATTTGAAGATGACGATTCTTGAAACTGCATTTTTGGACGAGACAGGTTTTAAGGTTATTGTGTTTAAACAGTGATATTCTTTGAACGGATTGAGCAATTTCAGTAATTTGTTCATCAAAACGTAGCTTATGAAATTGGCTTTCCAGATATTATTTTTGGTGCTTCATATTTTTAAAATATGAAATATAATATTTGGGGTTTGGGTTCCGCTTTTTTTTACTCACCCTGTATTAGAAAGACACTGTACACAAGCTTTTAAGCTAACCTTTAAAAAGCCTTCTTTAACTGTTATTCCTCGTTAGGATAACAATGATGAAGACGAAGAGAAGCCTGTTCTTCATATACCTGACGATGTTGTGCCCAAGAGCGGCCCGGAAGATGTGGACGGTCGCGACGATTCTAAAAAGCGTGTTGCGGGCGACTCAGACGATGATTCTGAAAATCTTAGAAGCCGGAAAGGCGACTCGGAGAGTAAAAGCAGCATCTTTGGTAATAGCAAAAACCTTGATAAACAGCTTTTATGTTAAAGGCATATAGGATCATTTTCATTATCCCAAAAGTAACCTACGGAATTATCATCGAATAGATTACCTTGATTTCAAGGGAATATACAACATTTTCAAACATCGAAAAACAAAACTGCCAAATGTTTACGAAATACCTCACTAGGATGTTGGTAAATGACAGTCTAAAGCAGCCTGTAAAATTATGGCACCTAGTGTGAAATCATTTTCAAGAAAAGTGGTATTTTTGTATAAATTTCCAGCGGTGGTCGGCCAACCACCGTTGGAAAAACCTAAATTTTTTCAACTACTGCTCCAAATTTACCATTTTTTTTTCAGTCCAAATTTTGTTTGCTATTGGTTACATGTTCATGAACAGGTGAAGGCCAGCTAGACTGGTTCCCTTACCTTACAATTTTCCGGCATCTATAAATTGATCCATTTCATCTTTAGTGGAGACAGAGAACCAGACTACAATGTACTGGAACATTTTTGTTTTTTTTGGTTTTTCCAGCATTTTTCGAACACAAAACTTCAAACATGTCAGAGTTACAATATTTGATCTATTATACTAACCCCTCAAATAGTTCATTTCTGAAAATTACAGCAAAAGCCAATGATGTACATTCCCTTTAATAAAAGATTGTTCTGGTTCTAAACACCCCCCCCCCCCATCTGGCTCGCTGTCATTTAAAAGAATTAAAGATTTGTAGGATTTCCAACGATCAGTCAATTGACTGATATTTGGAAATAAAGAGTGCTATAGATTTTAATCATGTTTCATGTTCAAAAGGTTGTGCATTGTTTTTCACTTTTCTCTAAAATTGTAATATCGACTGAGCTGAAACTACAACAGGTTTGATTTTGAACATTCTTCTTTGGATTTTAAGGGGGATTATTAGTAGAAACGAACAAAATGCATGAGAAGCAAATGATCCTGCATGCCTTTATTTAAGCATCATTATCAGAGGTTCAATACTCTTACTGTCATTATTACCCCTGATGGACAAGCCAATACTTACATTTATGAAAACTTGTCATATTCATCGGAAAAAAAAGAAGTTCTGTCTGAATGCTATACCATTTCTTACTTCAGTCATTCCTTTGAAGGTCATTTTCTAGATTTTCCTATTGTAACTGCCCAAATTATAAGATTACTAATACAGTGGAACGTCGCTATACCGAACACCGCTATACCGAACATTCGGCTATACCGAACATCAGACTTGGCTCCCTATTTTTGTGTACAAAACGTACCAAACATTGTTGTTGGAAATGTCAGCAGCATGGCTATTATTAAAAACTGTGTAATTACATGATTCAATAGTCGCACGTGTTCGAAGTCGTCTTTCAGTAACTACCAGGGCGTACTTGGTGTTCTGCTACAGAATTGAAAATATTAATGGACAAGTTTGGCGACTCCGCGTGTGGTTTGTATATGCAACTACACAATAACAATGATCAAAAGAGGGCGCCACTAATGTGTGAAAATCGCCATATCGAACGATCGCTATTACGAACAATTTCTGTGGATTCCACGATGTTCATTATAGCGACGTTCCAATGTATGCGAATTTTTCATATCCCTAGAATGGGACAACATTGACAGCCCGTATCATTGGCTTTCGTCTATGTGTAAAACACATTTGGTGAATTTTGTGACCGAGGTCACCCTTTACCAGAGCGTGTCAAATTTGAAAAACCTTTGGTTTCATTTCCCAGAGTAAATGAGGCCCATCTGACTTAACATGACTACGGCTAGCAATAATACACGTGTCTATGGGAAGTGGCTTAATCTGCTCCCATAGGCACGTGTGTAATCTTAAGCCGTAGCCATGTTATTTGGACATTGCCTAAATGTGATGCTGATAAGGTCTGGTACCTCACCCCCCCCCACAGGTGCCAAGAATGACAGGCAAGAGGCGGTAGTGGGTGCCTTCCAGCACGCATGGAAAGGCTACAGGGCCCATGCCTGGGGCCATGATGAGCTCAAGCCTATCAGTAAATCCTTCAGCGAGTGGTTCCATCTCGGGCTGACTATCATCGATTCGCTGGATACCATGTACATCATGGGGCTGGATAAGGGTAAGTTTTGCATAGCGTACTGGTAGTGGTCCTGCCAGGCATATCTGAGGATTGCGCTCCCATCTGCATGTGCACAAAGCCATAACGTTCTTGGTTCTTGGTTGGTTCTTCTCCTAAATACTCCGCGTGGGAGTTTATACAGGAGGCCAGAAACACCGTGGCAAGCCCCTTCTCTTAGCGATAAGTGTCACTGGGTTCTTTTACGTGCATTGCATTACACAACACACGGGACCTACGGCTTTATGTCCCATCTGAAGGATGAAGCAATAATGGTTAAGTGCCTTGCTTAAGGGCACAAGTGTCCACCCGGCAGGCTCGAACCCACATTCTTTAGCCTCTGAAACACCAGAGCATGAGTCTGTGTTCTTAACCGCTAGGACATGACACTTCACATTGTGTTCGTATGAGTGTCGGGAATCATGGGCAGTGCGTTCAAATGTCTCTCCCAGTGGTCTCCGCCAACTTGCCCTTTCTTGCCGTTGAGGGGGTACTTGTCCACAGAGCCCATAATAGTAATTTGAGAAAATGTTACGAACAGTACTAACAAATTTATCAAACTTGTCTCTTCAGAGTTTGAGGAGGCCCGTAACTGGGTGGAGAACGACATGAACATCCAGCCTAACGTCGATGTCAACCTCTTTGAGACCACAATCCGTGTCCTGGGAGGTCTTCTAAGTGCCTATCATCTTTCAAAGGACGAAGTCTTTCTTGATAAAGCGGTAAATTATCTTTTTTCGAAATTCCTTCCTGGAATTTCCAGAAGAAACGATTTTCTACAAACCTCATACTTCTGGCCATTGTTAATTTCCCAGACAGTTTTTCATTTGCTCCTGGACCAAATTGCAATATATTGTCTCGTTTAAAAATACATCATGACCCATTCTTTCGTCACCAATCAACACTTGAAATTCCATTATCACATGGTGAAAATGACAGTTGTAGAAAAGGGAAATTTATTGTATGAGCCCTTCACCGATTTCGCTTTTGCTACTTAAGTGTTTACTTTCTTAGAGTTTAGGCATTCTCCTGAAGACGGTCAGACCATACTGACCGGAACGTCGAGTTTATACCTCTGGTTCTTTTCAGAACCATTAGCTCTTAGTTGAGAAATTATTCGTACATGGTGTTTCCCCAAACCTTTCATTATTTAGTATCTTCACCATGCAAATCCTCAAATCTTACTGAGCCAGTTGTGTTTTTCAATTTTCAATTTGTTCTTTTTCAATAATCCTCTGTACTGCTGACGTCACACTTTGTTTACTTGTGCACTTTTCTATGGGGCTACGAAACCATTGCCCCAGCAGGCTCCCATAAGAAAGCACATGTGTGTTACAAAGTGTGACATCATCAGTACAGAGGCTTATTGTGCACTCCCTGTTGTATTGCCGCAAACATGCAAGGTATTGCAGAAAACAAAGCAATGTTAAAGGGAATATACATCATTTGCTTTTGCCGTAATTTTCAGAAATGGATGGAATTGGGGGGTTGGAAATATATAGCAAATATAGTTACAATGACTTTTTTGAGGTTTTGGGTTCGAAAATGCTATAAAAACCAAGAAAAACGATCATTTTCCTGTAGTCTGGTTCCCTGACTCCATATAAGAAGAAACAGAGCAGTTTACATACATTGGGGAATTGTAAGGTCAGGGAACCAGTCTAGCTGGCTCGTACCCGTTCATAGGTTTGTAATCGATTGCAAACAAGTGCGATGGTCAATTGGGGCCAGTATTTGAAAAAAAGCCAGTTGTTTCCAACGCTGATCGGCCGATCAGCGTTGGAAATTGATACAAAAATACCACTTTTCTTGAAAATGACAGTATACCAGGTGCCATGATTTTACAGGATGCTTTACACTCTCACTCACTAACAGTCCAGCAAGGTATTTCAAAATGATTTGGTAGTTTTATTTTTTGATGTTTGCAAATGTTGTATTTTCCCTTTAACATTATTGAATTTCACCCCTTTTTTCTCTATTTGTAGAAAATATTAGGTAATAGTCTCCTTCCTGCCTTCAACACCAAAAGCAAGATCCCCTATGCAGACGTGAACCTCAAAACAGGCAAAGCCCATGCGCCCCGCTGGGGACCAGACAGTTCCGTCTCGGAGGTCTCCACCATCCAGGTCGAATTCCGGGACCTGACCTTCACGACGAAGGACAACCGGTTCAAGGATGCCGCAGACACGGTCATGAACCACCTGCACAGCCTGCGCAAGACGGACGGCCTGGTGCCCATCTTCATCAACGCCAACACGGGACAGTTCCGCCAGCACGCCACGATCACGTTTGGAGCCAGGGCCGACAGTTACTATGAATACCTGATGAAGCAGTGGCTGCAGACTGGAAAGTCAGAACGGAGGTCAGAAAAAAAAAACCCACTTTTTGTTTCCAGTTTGATTGACTCTTCATTGGTCCATTAGGGCCAGCCTAATTAAAGCGGGCCTAGTGACTTCTTTGCCCCTATCTCACTGACTGACTCACTGAATGTCTGACTTTACTCACTCACTTGCTCACTCACTTGTGAGCCGGGCAGAGCTATTGTATAGGATTACCTCATAAGGGGCCGCACCCCTATAAAAATGGTTCGCCAACCGCCGAACATTTGCCCCAAAGGATTGGCCAAATCATTTGGGAATCTTCTTTCTACCATTTGGGGTCTTCTAAAACGATAGACCTCTTGCCAACCAGTCCAGCAGTAATTCTCAACTTCAAAGGTGCACCCACCACTAATCCTCCACAGAGTCGAGGTTTTTTGTTAAAGGGAATATGCAACATTTGCAAACATCAAAAAAAAAAACTACCAAGTTTTTACGAAATACCTTACTAGGATGTTGGTAAATGACAATCTAAAGCATCCTGTAAAATTATGGCACCTGGTGTGAAGTCATTTTCAAGAAAATGGTATTTTTGTATAAATTTCCAACGGTGGTCGGCCGACAACCGTTCTATTAATCAACTACTGCTCGAAATTCACCATTGTTTTTTCAGTCCAAAACTTGCTTGCTATTGGTTACATGTTCATGAACGGGTGCAGGCCAGCTAGACTGGTTCCCTTACCTTACAATTTTTTTCTGGCATCTATAAATTGATCCATTTTATCTTTAGTGGAGTCAGGGAACCAGACTACTCCACCATTTGTGGTTTTTTTTGGTTTTCCCATCATTTTCGAACACAAAACTTCAAAAATGTCAGTGTAACAATATGTGATCTATTATAGTAACCCCTCAAATAGGTCATTTCTGAAAATTGCAGCAAAAGCCAATGATGTACATTCCCTTTTACACAACAGATGAGAAGCTCGTGTGCAAAGCATCAACACTTAAATAAATGGCCATCGATCAATAGCTAGGAAACAATCAACTTCCTTTTGGAGTGCCACTGGATTCAGAGCTATGAAGCGTGAACCGTTTGGTACACCATTCTGAAGTGGTTGGCAAAGCTATATCGTTGGGGAACTGTTTGACGGTTTGCGAACCATTTGTATATGGACGCCGTCCCTAATCTTGACTGCTGATCTGCTTTGGAATAACAAAAGCTGGCAGCTCTAAGCAATGTTTTGTGCTTCAAGCAGCTCAATAATCTTTGGCCCTCTTTTTTATTTTGCTGTTTCCTGAGAGGGCCAGCCTTTAGTTCCTTCTTGCACCCGACTTGACTGACTGACTGACTCAATTGCTCATTAATAGGGTTGATGAAGTGAATATTTTGCGCAACTTTCTACTCTTGAAAAGTGCACTGTTTTAAACATTTAAAAATTGTCCATGCTTTTCCTGACGAATTAGGGCGCTGCAGCTGTGAGATGTCATTTCAGGAAGCCACTGTTCAGTTTGGGGGTTTTCTGTTCAAATTGTGAACCCAAACTGTGCTAATTGAAAACTTTTGTGAGAAAACTGTACCGTCATGTACCGAAACAACAACGAATCACCAAAGAAAAGAACATTTACGACAGCAAAATATCCAAAATTCTGGCAAATGTTGGTGCTGAAATATCTGTAACATTGACATTTCTGCCTGAAATGACATCACACGTTTTCTCATGAATATGGAAATTTTTATTAGCAAAACAACCAAAATGGCACCCATATGCCCTTAAAAATGGCAAAATTAAAATTGGAAAAAATGTGAAATCGGACACAAAGGTGTATTTTCAAAGATTGCATTAAACAAATTACATTACGTGGGCCTTTTAACTCACTAAATGTCACTAGTGAATTAGCCCGGTTGTTGGCTGTGGTAGAGAGCTGGTCATTGTGACCATGCAGTGTGTCTCTAAAAAAATGAAAACAAAATATAACGGGATGCCAGACGTAGAATGTGTAACCAACATAGATAATATGGATACATTCATGTTAAAAATGTTTAGCATGTAAACATGTTTACAAACTGATATTATTAAGAAAGTATTAAGAATTGTGTTTACTCGCTAAACACATTTTTTTTGCAGGCCAGGCAATTATCCACACAGAGGCAATTAGGCTACTGTTGTCCCAATGCCTAAAATTGAAAACGTGGTCACATGTTCAATTTGACCTCTCTTGGAAAATTACTCATAACTCTGTCAAAAATTACCAGATTTGAATGTTTGATGTCTCATTTTAAAGCGGAAAGGCGAATCTTTCAAACCATACCTATATTATCTATGGTGGTTACACATTCTTTGTATGGCATTCCGTTATATTTTGTTTGCATTTTTTTTTGATACACACTGTATAGGACTACCTGGTAATGGGCTAAATCCGGCTTATTATGTACACCAAATACATGAAAAGACTTCCAGTGAATTACCATTCTGAATCCATTAATGTTCCTTTCAGGTTCAAAGAAGATTTTGAAGCAGCTATGGAAGGAACCAAAAATCGTCTCCTCAGGCGATCAGGTCCCAACAACCTGCTCTTTGTTGGTGAACTTGTCAATAACAATTTCTCACCCAAGATGGTAAGTCAGGGGGTTGTGAAAAATATTTATTGGAGAAAAACAAAAATATGTACGACTTCATCAGAATGCGGTTGCACTTATTACTGTGGAGTTTTTTTTTTGAATGGGACTCACTTGAAGGCTGTCCATGACAGTAAAACAGAACTTGTTGCACGTCAAGCAAGCCAGAATTAAAGACCCATCTGTAATATATAAAATATGATTTACAGCTTTTTGAAGAATACCGTGGAAGAGGTTGGTATATACACAACATGTGAAGTAACAAGCTCTAAAACTGACCAAAGAAAGTGTGTTTTGAGATGAACTTCAGGATTTTCGGTCAGTATGCATCTGTTCGCCATTATCCCGATGACGGTCAAAGCAAACTCACCAAAACACCTTTACACCCGTTTCAGACGTTTTAAGTATTCCAGTTTCTAGTTTTCAATACATCCCAGTTCGTTGCTTTGTTTTTCTTTTGTTTGTTTTGTTTGACCAGTTCCGCTCTCTGTCTTTCCTGTACAGTCTGTTATAAGTTCTGTTTGTCCAGTTTGTTGTCTGAAAAAGGCATTTCTATATAAGATGGTGTCTTTTTGATAATGCCTCCATAATTGCCTCACTTTCGTTTGTGTAGTTCATAATTACTATTCTTATATTACATCAAAAATCTTTCTTATGTTGACCTGTAAAATTATCTGAATGTACATTTTGCGATATAGAAATAAATGTTGAAATGAAGAAGAATTGAATTGAATTGAATAGACTGGTGTGCCAGACTTACGCTGAACCAAATAAAATTTGGAGCGACACTGGTCGACCCGAATAGTTTTTGTTTCAAACAAGCAAAATTAAGGTATTGATTTGACTGGACTCTGGAGTTGTTCCAAATGACTGCAACAGTGATCTCAAGATACATTCGTTTTGCACGTAATTCAAATCTGAAGAACACTTGTTTGTAGAATGCCAGTGTGAAATAAGTATTTGTTCTCTTCTCTCTAGAGTTGGTCACTTCATGGAGGAATAAAAACCCAAATGGTGTATTCTTGATTCTGTTTAAACCAGGCATGCAACTTTTCCTCGGATCAGCTGATTTCCTCTTTTTTTGCCTCCCATGTGTGCCATTGAAAATAGACAAACACTGTACAAAGCCTTGGAAAGATTTGAATTTCCTCTTTTTTGTGACTTCCCAGTTGCATGCCTGTTAAACTGATCCGTAGTTGACATTCCTTGCAACCATTCCTTGCCCAGGACCACCTGGTGTGTTTCCTGCCGGGCACCCTGGCCCTGGGCTACTTCCACGGACTGGACGAGTCCTACCTGGAGCTGGCCCGCAACCTGGCCAACACCTGCTACCAGATGTATGCACAGATGCCCACGTTCCTAAGCCCCGAGATCGCCCATTTCAATATGCTGCCGGGCATGAAGGATGACATTATTGTCAAGGTGAGAAGTGCAACAGGGTAGGGTTTCCCCTGGGAGTACTTTAGACATTAACTTCTCCGTTTAGGATACTTTGTCCGAAAACTCTGCCTGACAAAACAACAATCAACAGTTGTCAAACTGAGATAGAGGTGTTCATGGAACCGGCTATCCGAGTAACCGGTTCCATCCCAATTTCACGGCGTTGCTCAACAGTTACCAGAAAAGGTGTGTTTAGCATAGCAGAAAAATTTGCTAACCCTTAGCACTATTTCACGGCGTGGACGTGCTAATGGTCGCGCGTGCATGGAGATTTCTATTGTTACGTCACTAAGTTAAGCAAATTTTTCCTCTGAAGTAAGCGTGGCTTTTGCTGTGCTTATGCTTACGGTCTCCATGAAATGGACGGAGGCTCTGTTAGCAGAAAATCGTGTGCTTAGCAGCGCCGTGAAATTGGGCCCAGATTATGGGATCGGGTACCCGTAACCAACTTCACAATTTACTTAGTAACTTCTCAGACAGTGAAAAAGAAAAGTTTTTGAATGCCATTGTTGGGCATTTTCAAAATGGAAACCAGGCTTCATGGAAAACCAAAACAGATTTCATGTCATGTGCATTTTTATGCGTGACAGATGACTCTCGCGAAAGTTGCAGTTTACACCGTAAAGCTGTAAAGCACTTGGGACAACTTCCGGGATTTGAAAATTGGGGTTGGGTTGCTATGAATACCCGGGTACCTGTGATTTACTTCAATAGGGTAACCGGTTCCCATACTACCCGTAAATGCACACCACTCAAGTGAGAACCCTGATCAGTTCTCCTCTACCAACGTACACGTAACGTTTAGGTTACATGTACTGCATGCTCCAACTATACTGTGCACATGAAAATCCATGAGATACAGTGTACAGTACATGTACATGCATACAATTTATACATCATACAACAAGCCCCAGGCTTCGGCCTCAGTTACACGTACATAATAAGGTAAATTCAAACTGTTTTACCTTTTAGGTATGTACGTTTTGTAACGAAATGTAAAATTATGGCATTAGAAAGAAACAATAACAGTAAGGTTAAATTTTATTTAATTTTTTTCAAGTATATTCACCACTTGGCACGAGGTACAATAATTCTTAACGCAAAGTCATATTTGTCAACACTCTGGGGTCTGCCCACGGAGCGATATTTGTACCACAACAGGCCGTGCACAGTGGCCAAGTTCAAGTTCAACACACGGTCTGCCTCCACAGACTTCTCAGACTTTGTGTGTGTGTGTGTAGACCTCATCCGGAGGCAAGTCGGGGCACGCTAAACGTTTTAACCCGTCAGTCATGTGTTTACACGTCCTCCGGCATGAAGTGGTTAAAAAAAAAAAAATGACGGAGATTTTCCAGATTTTTGGCTGGGTCGGATAAGGGCAACACAATTTTTGTTTTTGGCCTAATGACAGACTCGGATTATCAACAAAAAAATCCTGGTACCCTCAAATGTTTGGGCATAGTCTCGCGTGTCGTGTACACCATTTGGTAAAGTTGAGGGTTCAAAATCCCTTAAGATTTTGCAGTCAGTTTCAAGTTGACACTTTTGGGTTGTGTTTATAGTCATAAGATCAAATGCACCCATGCCAAGAAAGAAATGACCAAGCTCATTTTTTACTCAAACAAAAGGCATTTTCATTGCACTGATTTTTCTCTCTTCTTTCCTAGCCTGCCGATGCCCACAACTTACTCCGCCCGGAGACGATAGAGAGCTTCTTCTACCTGTACCGCATCACCAAGGACGAGATCTATCGGGAGTGGGGTTGGGAGATATTCCAGGCCTTCGAGCGTTACACCAAAATTCCCGGCGGCGGCTACTCCTCCATCAGCAACGTGAAAAATCCGGACAAGCCCTCCTTACGGGACAAGATGGAAAGCTTTTTCCTCGGCGAGACGCTCAAGTACTTCTTCTTGCTGTTCAGTGACGAGCCGGATTTACTACCCCTGGACAGATACGTGTTCAACACGGAAGGCCACCCTCTCCCTATACGGACTATAGATGGCGCTGTCATGCATTAACGGATCATCCCCTGAAATAGGATATTGCAATAATTTCACAAATTTCAAGAATGGACGAATATTTTTTTAAATTAGATTGAAACCAGTGGATAAATGTGGCATTGCATCTTAATCGATCTGATTTTTTGCACCAGAACATTGAAATTATAGCCACAAAGTTCAGCCTAGCCCATGGCAAGTCACTGGTGATGCCATCCCAGGAAGGCCTGCCCAAGAACTATGAAGAAGTAAGGTTTGAGGCCAAGTATCTGGAGGACTAAAACCAGGCCACCAAATGCACCAGCAATCTTTGCAAACATTGGTTGAGCTTTCTAACAGTCAGCTGCCATTGAGCATGTATCAAATGCATGTATGGAGTGTGAAAGTCCTGCACATCTACATGAAATCGACATCACTAAATCTCTGCTTTAAGTCCTGCTCGGTAGAAATGATACGAGTAGACAATGACGTGTATACCCCCAAAGGTTTTGCGGTATTCGGAACAGATGACGGAAAAGCATGCAGGGAGTGAGGCCGGAAATATCTGTCAGCGACCCGCTCGCAGCGAGCAAGGCCGGAAATATGAGTGTGCTGCCCAAGGGTGATGGCCTCAACCCGCCTGGCTTGAGGTCGAGTGAAAAGTAATCCCGCGCCTCGTTCTGTTCTTGTCAAAATAAGCCCGGAGCGAACTGGTTAAAAGACTGTTATGTGTGCTGAGTAGAGGTGAATGGCCAGCACCGTTGGTGTAACCTCAAAGCCAACTCAGGACAAAAACAAAATATTTGTAAACAGTCAAGCTTTATAAAGGTCTTGAGTAGCCAACGCTGTTCCGCAAAATGTGCTAATGATTTCACGTGAGTGGTGTTCAGAGTGACTGGAAATGGAGGCTACCAAATTTCAGGTTAATAATAATAACAATAATGGGTATTTATAAAGCGCCCGTTTCCACCACTATTGCTGCTCAAGGCATCGGCGTTGTAGTCGAGACCCTGCAAGACCATCACAAGACCATCACAAGACCTCCAGTCTCAATTCAAGTCACAAGCTATTCAAATGAACTGTGACAAAGGCATTCCTGTGTTATTGTTCATCCACTGTTACTTGTGACTGGTCTTGTGTCTGGTCTCGTACTGGTCTTGTGTCTGGTCTTGTGATGGTCTCAACTACAACACTGCAAGGCGCTACATCATTATTACCCTATCCGGTTCTTTAGTAAAAGCGTCATACACTTGCGCGCACCACAGATACTAGCGCCCATTGGATAAACACTCAAGTTGCATTAACTTCCGGTTCCAATGGTTCCAATGCTACTTAATGGGCAGTGGGCGTGGTTTAAACTGAAGTGACGTCACACTAATGAACCGGATAATGGGCCAGTGAAACATTCCAAATACAATCTCAGCTCCCTGGGGAGTATACAGCTCGATGCTGCCATTTTGGCGCAAAGCAGCTTAAATCAACCACAGTAACCATCTCTGCCCTCACAGGTACCCACTGGGTGGGGAGAGGCAATGAGTGACAAAGTGCCTGGCCCAAGGGCACACGCACCATAGTCGCAGGCTGGGCTCGAACCCAAAAATGCAGAACTACCCACAAACCACAAATTCAGTGCTCCAGACCACGAGGCCAACTCGAGATGAAAAAATGATGTTGAAAACACTTGAAGTTTATAACAGTAAACTTTCACATATTCAAGAGTAAACGAGTTACCACTCGTTTAATGTAGCATTTTTTTCCCAAACATCTGTGACAACAGTGGAATTGTGTGCTAACCGACTTGAGGCCGCAAGATGTAGGAGAAGAAACTGCAGCCTCTTAAGTTTGATATGTACCATTGCATATCGTGGTATATGTGTTTGCACTTGCAGACAAATGATTTGCTTCTTGAAGAACTTACCAATGTGGCGACTGCATTTACCTAACTGGCCTGCACATGTGTGGAACCATTAGCCTATTTGAGATATGACGGTCACAATATGAGGGCGCTGTTTGATTCGGGTAAACACAAAAGAGCTTACCCGAATCAAACGGTGATATTATAGGCCAATTCAAATTCCAGTTGTTCTCGAGTGTGCGCGCAAGTTTTGAAACTCTTGTCTTGCACAAAACTGTATCACCTTCATTGCTTGTGTGGTTGACACCGTAGCTGGTCCAAACCACTTTTTTATCAACTCGGCCTAAATTTGATATTTCCCGCATAATGACAAACTGGAATAGCTAATGGCTATTGTTATATCGTGTGCTTGGATACTGTAATTTCAGTGGTCTAGGACAGCCATGGTCTGGACAATGAAAATGCATGTCGCACACTGAGGGTGATATCACAATGAGTTCATTGCGCGCTGCGCACACGTGTGCAACCTGCCGGCGCACTATAGCTTTGCGCATTGAGAACTCAACGTCAATTGCTCAGGCTCGTGTCCGGCAGGACATCAAAACCTTCAGTTATCAAAGGTTACATCGCAGTGATTTAATTTATTTCTCACACAGTAAAGTTACAACCATTTATCTTTTTTGAGTTATTGGCACGATTATAACAAAACAATTGTTGACTGCTGTGATTTGGGATACCCCCTCGTGGCGCACAGCACCATCGGCTTCGCCTCGGGTGCTATGCGCCCCTTGGGTGTTCAAAAATCATATCTCACATCATAGCAGTCAACAATTGTTAATTGTGTGGAGGTTTTTTGGTAGTTGTAGCAATGTGCGCAAATGCAGACAACAAAGCTCTACATGCCTGTGTTGGACACACACGGCCTTATTTGTGTTTTTTTGGGGGGATCAATGTCATTTTAAGATGAAGATTTTTTTTTTTAAATCATATTTGTTGTGACTTGCTCTCCTGCCTTGTACTTTGCATTTCTAAGGTGCTGAGCCATTTTACTTAAATGATGTCCTCGGGACAATAAAGTGAGAAGCCCAGAAATTTGTAAAATAATAGAAAAGCAAAAATTAATTTTCAAAATGTTGAAGAATGCCTTGGCAGCATTTCTGTCATTTTTTTGTTAATTGTGGAATTGTTGGTAAAAAGTTTAAATGCTTCGTACATTATTTTAGGACTTTATCTATCTGCCCAATCCACCAACGTACATGTGTAAGCAATGCACCTTTTTGGTGGATTGAGGCCGACTGTACGCTGGTGTTCTGAATGCACATGTGTAAGCAACGCACCTTTTTGGTGGATTGAGGCCGACTGTACGCTGGTGTTCTGCACAATATGCAAGTATAAAGACAGATAAGATGGCCGTTAAAACCTCTGTCCTTTTTTTTTTGGTCACTGAGATGGACTTCTAATTTCATAAACATGTAGATGGCATTGAAGACCAAAGAGTCGGGCAGAGACTGAAATCTGATCAATTGTTTTAAACTTTTTAATCATTATTCCATGGTTTGTTTTAAATGTGGCATTACTGAAATAGTCAGTTCAGCACTCTTTTACACCTTTTTGTTGTGTATTACACACGAAACAAAAAAGTAAATATAACGCAATTATTATTTTCTCAATTTCTGGCTCTCTTCTTAACAGCAGAAATGTTTCACATTCCATCTGGATTTCGCTTATGCTCTTTCATAGTGTGTATTTCATGTTATCTTTAAGCAAACTTGAATCCTCGATTCTGATTGGTGGATCCATGGCAACAACAGTGTGATATTTTCCGTAATAGCACGGCCGTTATCGCACTCGCATATATCGGGCATAAAGCAGGATTGACTGGCTGGGAATGTTTATGTAACTTTGTACAGCTTTGCTTTGACTGTGGGTAATGGATAAGCCAGACGGGCCCAGAACTTGCCTGCTTTGTCTGCTCATAGCCTGTTGAAGGAGTTTAACTAGTCACGGTGCTTGCTTGACATCTGATCTGACTGCTAGTGACTAGCGCGTGTTAAAAGTATAGCAGGGGAAGTGGATGGAAATTTTGACCGTCTGTGACTGTTTAAATAGCAGGAGGGTTCAAGAAAACCATTGGATATTTAACCCATTTATCCTGGTCTACATTGCACTACACTGTATTTAATCCTTGATGAATCTGTTAAACCATTAAGGATTGGGGCGGTTGGGGCGGTATAAAGAGTAACAGGCAGGGTGTTTTGGGGGTGATATAGGGATTAACAGGCTAATCAGTGACTTAGAATAGGCATTTTTACTTGGACCAGTTGTGAGATCTGCCCAAAATGTAACAGTGCAAACCCAATGGACCTTATTCACGAGAAAGCCATTTTGGTCGGGTTCCATGAATGTATTACATTAATTGTGAACTGTTGAATGGGATGCTGCCAGACTATTTATACATTCTATCCTCACTTTCATTTTTTATGGCTTAAAACATTAGGGTATGTTTAACCACAAATTAAAAAAAAATATTTATTAGAGCAGACTGGTATAATGTTTAATTAACTTCATGTCATTGCTTTCATTTCTCCTCACAAGTTCTGAAAATGAAGATTTTACTTCACTTTCAATTCGGCATGGCCAACTCCGTGAATAAGGCGCTATGGCACCCCATTGGAACCTTATGCTGGGTGTTAGATTGTGCAGATTGGGGTATGCCTAGTTAGTGTCAATTGTTTGACGGTAAAGGTTTCTCAGTACTTGTACAGATCTCGTTAGAAAGCACAGAAGTAGAGTGCAGGTCCCCTGTCATGGGTCCCCGTGTCATGGGTCCCCGTGTCATGGGTCCCCGTGTCATGGGTCCCCGTGTCATGGGTCCCCGTGTCATGGGCCCCCGTGTCATGGGCCCCCGTGTCATGGGCCCCCGTGTCATGGGCCCCCGTGTCATGGGCCCCCGTGTCATGGGCCCCCGTGTCATGGGCCCCCGTGTCATGGGCCCCCGTGTCATGGGCCCCCGTGTCATGGGCCCCCGTGTCATGGGCCCCCGTGTCATGGGCCCCCGTGTCATGGGCCCCCGTGTCATGGGCCCCCGTGTCATGGCCCCCCGTGTCATGGGTCCCGTGTCATGGGCCCCGTGTCAAGGGCCCCATTGTTGCATTACAACTGCTTTATGGAAGCTCTTTTTATAATAATCATGGTGAAACCATCATGTTGAACACTGTTTCTCAGATTTTTAAGAGGTGTACATTTTCTTATAGTGTGATAATTTGAGATAGCTGGTCATGGGCCCCATGTCATGGGCCCCATTGTAGTATTACAACTGCTTTATGGAAGCTCTTTTTATAATAATCAT